CATAAACCACAAAAGCATTCCCAAAGACACCCCGCAATTCAACTAGAAAAAAGGCCTAGAACCCTTGAAAGCGATCCGCACACAGTGATATCCGCAAAAGCATGAGGCGCATTTGTGCACACTCCGAATCCTCCGCGGAAACGCCCCATGCATCACCCTCTTCGGAACCGCCCCCGGAACCCTCCTTGGACTACATCTTGGACTGCATCCCCGGGAATGCCCCTCAGAACAAAGTCATCCCCCAAGACATCACCCGAGACAACTGCAAAGACAACCCCAAAGACACGGAAGACATCCCCAAACACAATCAACCGAAAGACATCACCAAAGACACTCCAAAGACATCCCCCAAGGACCCTTAACTCCCAGACCCCCACCTCTGAGCGGAAACCCTTCTGCTGCGCATTCGGAAAAACACCCAGCAAGCCATGGCAGCGCGAAAGCCTTTCAACAGACTCTCGAAACTCCAAGCTGCAACGTCCAAGACTTAGGGCCAATATGTTTCCCGCACAAGCAGTGCACCATGTCAGTCGGACCTCCCGCTAAAAAAAAAATGAAACGCCAAACATCTGGAACGATTACCCCTGCAATTTCCAATCAAGGCGGGCAGGCTCCCGCTTCTGGCCTCACGCAGCGAAGGCCAAAAGGAAACCCACAGGCAGCCAGAATGGACGGTGTTCAACGAAAAAGCGCGTTTGGCAACACACAAATTCTGGGATTTTTGGACCCAGCTTACATGACTGACGCACAGCATGAGCCACAGAGGAGGTCATTGGTTTTTGCTGGGTGGAAGTCTTAAGCGTCACACACAGCAGGAGGAAGAAACCAAATGGGTGTGTGTGTGTGTGTGCTGCTTGAAGGGTACAGGGACCCTTTTCAGGTTGGTTTATTGTGGGAGAACCAACCTGAAAGGAAAACCCCCTTTTTTCTGACACATTCCAAATGCATGCAACATTCAGGAGGTGTTGCGTGGCTCATCGGGTCGCAAGCCCCAACCAAGCATCCCGCTGCCGCACCCTTTTCGCACCTCCGACTTGAAACCTCGCAAGGCTCCGCTATGATAAGCAACCACAGGCTGTTGCACCCAGTTGCGGAAACCTAAACTAAACTGATTCAAATGCCGGTGGCCAGCTGCCACATCCTCCACACCCTGCCTCTCTGGCAAAATCACCAACCTGTGAACTTGGGGAACCCTTCCAAACCTCGAAGCCGGTCTTCCACGCAACCCGGCCCCAAGCAGGCCGTAAGGTTGAGTGGTCGGGACGTCCCACGAGTCACGCGTAGACTACATCCCGTGTCAAGAGCTGGTAGGAGCCGGGGGTGAGACGCCACACCATGTGCTCCACGCCGTGCAGCACAGCGCGGCTCGGCGATGGGCCCTCTTCCCCGGAGCAGCCCAAGAGCCTGGGAATGACCCTGGGGTAATCAACCTGGTGGATTTCGGGCATGCCCCAAAAGTTAAGGATCGATCAACCACGGGTTGATCCATCCTAGGTTTTCAATATATCATAAAGCGTCCATTCACGACAATATTTGTGTGCCCTAACAACGAGACCTTGAAACAGGTGGTGGTGTCCGAAAGCCCAGGATGTTTTGAGAACGCGCCTGCCTGCCAATCCAGGCTTGCTAGGAGGACTAGATACATTCTACCAGCCTACGGGCCTCGACCATGGACAGAAGCAAGCCTGTGGAATTAACAAAGAAGTGTGGATGCTGATTGTCAAACAGCTTCAAGCAACCCGGCTAAGAAAAACTATCACAACTCTGCGTGGCCCTAGCAGGGTGCTTCTGCAGTCTGCAATGCACAATGCCTGTCATAGGTGTGCCTTTACATGCTTTCCGCTCTGCACGGCAAGGGGGAAGGCACAAGGAAGTGTGCAAGGCATGCCTCCTGTATTGAAAAGTGCCAGTGGTACCCCACTCGAAGGTTCCCAGGTACGGCGAATGGCCCCACCTCCCCCCATCGACACGCACGACTGTCATGCACTGTGCATTTGTCCTGCAACTTGACAGAAGATCCGCCCTCACACAAGGGCGGGATTTTCCGCGCTCCGTCAGTTTTTATTCAAGTTGGCCTCGGGGTTCAAACCAATCCCGAGCATTGCATCGTCCAATGGCACCTGCCAAAACAAAAAAAACGGCAATAGGGGTTTTGAAACTCTGATGCCAGAAGATCTTTCAAGCAACGCTGAAAAGCCACGTAGAAAGGTTAGAGTTAGTTGGTACTAACTTTTTTTATAGTCTAGTGTAGTAGGGGAACCCTCCCCCAAAAAAGGGTAAAAGGGCCACTACCTAGTCCAGCAAGCAGTCACCAAATGAAGGGATACCTGCAGGAAGGCAATAAAACTACTGCAAGGGACATAGCCAAACCAAAGAGCCACGCTGATTCCCACCGCCCGCACCACGCGAAAGCCTCAACTCGCCATCGCGGCTCGGCACGTACAGGTCAGCCACCAGGCCCACAGGCACATGCGCCTGCAGAACAAGCGCTCCGGCTCCAACGGAGAAGCGGCCAATTCAGGATTCCATTCTTGACCACCTCAAGGCAGGCCCTTACGCCCCGCAGCTGATGCCCCCAAAAGACAATTCTGAGTTTCAGCCGATCCGGCTTTCTGGGGGAGCCTTTTTCTTGGGCTGGTTGCAAAGGAGGACCAAGCAAAAGACAACCATTTTGGGGACACCTAATTTTGACGGACAGCGTAAGCGTTAAAGTTCAAACCAGCCCAGACAGGGACAACTCCCCCCCAACATCGAGCGGCCTGGACCTGCAGGCGATCAGTTCGGGACCAGGCCAGCTGCAGATCTCCGAAGTCCGAGCCCACGCTCGAGAACCTCACCCGGCACAGCTGGCTGTGCGGGGCGGGGTCAACAAAAATAGGATTTGACGGCGGGGGAGTGCATTTGACCTTTAAGCCCATTGGGTCAGCAGGTATGCCTTTGATCCCCGGGGTCAGGCACCAGGGGTCCTCCTGAAAAATGGAACGGGCTCGCACTGGCGGCTGGTGCCCGCAGACCCATCCCGCTCAAGCAAAGCCATGCCGCATAAAGCTTCACCCTGGTTGGCAATAGAGGGCATGTCAGGTTGAAGGGTACTGTTCAAATCAAGGATGCACACGTGGAGTTGTCGAGAATACAACCACCCTTGGAAAGATAGACACGTCGCGCGCTGTCAAACATGCACTGCGAACGTTGTTTGAAGCCAACTGCAAAAGTGTCTATCTCCGTGCGGGCGCAGACGGTTGTTTCACAAACTTTGACTTGCACGAACGCGCTCCCGAGAATCAATCATTCAAAAACCAGAAAAGTTGTATCTGACATGTCCGAGTTGGGAGCGCGAGCAGGTCCGAGAGCTTCTATCTTGGTGAGCCTATCTTCGTGGGGAGCCACCGACTTTCCCAACAACAAATGCTGAGGAACAGTTTCCATCGCCCCTGAGACGCCTATTCGGAATCCCCAGGGCCTACATAATCACGATCCGTAGTCGATTTGATTCTTCCGTTATCCATGCTGCAAATCGTGGGTCAAAAGCTCATGCTGCCGCATCGAAAATCCATGCAACACCACGCAACCAACAGTCTGCAATCCACAAGCTGCATAATCTAATCCGGCTTTTGAACAAGCTAGCCACTATCCCGACGCCCCCCTTCCCAAAGTAGTCTCTATCTCCTCGAGAACTGCGAGGCAACCCGCCCAGGCCCTGAAATGCTTTTTATGCTGGGAAAGACACGAGTTGGCCGCAAACATACTGCCCCCCAGATGGGTGATATGTTCGAAGCAACTTGCCGCGACCAGGAAAGTGTCCCAAACAAAGTCTTTTTCCAAGCAAACAGCCCGCCCGCCCGCCCGGCAGGCGGCGAGTGCTCCAGCGCACCAACCACCAGCTTCGCTCGCTGCTTCTCGAGGGTGATGCCTCCGAGCAGGCATGGCCCAGCAAGGCCGGGCATGATTAAGTAACCGAAGGACAACTTAAATCCTGGCAATAGTGGATGAGGCCTGCTCACACATACACACAACCACAGATAAGACACGTCTTGAGACAGAGACACAAAGTCGGGCCAACCTCACCAATGCGCGTGGCTGCAAAACTATCTCTGGTGCGCTACTCAGCCGGCAACGCGCCACGCCCGCGCAAAACGCACCGTGTGAGCGCAAAAGCGGTGAAGAGACGCGCCTGCCAAGCGGGAAATCAAGTAGTGGCCCACGGAGGAGAACATGTGGTGGGCTCTGGAGTTCATGCCTGTGCCCTGGAACGGTGCATCCGGGAGCTCCCACATGCCTCGAGGCGATCGGCAAGCCGAGTTTCTTCAAACTGGGAGGGACCCTCATCCGAATCTGTAACACCACTACCACAAGGGAAACCACTACCATCTGGCGATTGGTTTTGAACAACCAAAAGACGAGAGCTGGTCATCACCCCGAGTCTGTCTCGCGTAGGGAACGAAGCCGCATGCTAACTGTCTAACTAGCATGCTGAAGCTTGCATTTCAGCAATTATGGTTGCGGCCACCACTAAGAGATGTCAAAGCACGCTGGTCTCAACAACTCAGAAGACGCTACTTCACACCGCAAGCGTGACTAGCACTTCAAGCTTTGTGCTCACCAGGGCGAGAGGCACTCCTTTGCCGGCTCGAACTCGTTGAAGTACCTTACGCACCACGAGCGCATTGGCAAACCCCAAACAAGGGCATCACAACAGGGAGCCAGAACTCCCCCAAACCTTGAGACATCGCCGAGCGCACCTGCCGCGCCAATCCACGAGCCACCGAGGCGCATGTATCCGAATGACGGGTAGTCCTGCAGCACGCCCAACTTTTACCACCAAGCAGCAAGCTAGTCTTGAACGAAGCGTGATCCCACAAACATGTGTCTGACCAATTTCGGGCTGCACAGTCCTTCCTAGTCAGCATGGACAGTGCCAGGTCTGCTGCGCCATTGTCATGCAGCACATCGAAGAGGTATCTGGTTGTTATAATGCCGCCAGTCCACGTGTTGTTGTGGTCCGCGATGTACCTTGGCATGTCAAGCGAAGACTGCGCTCGCCCAAACAAGCTCCCCGCGACCTGGAACTCCAGTGATCTCAGGACACACGAGAGCTCCTGGACGCCTAAACGTACCAACCGTGAACACCCAGCTGGCCCAGCTGCTTGAGCAAATTCTTGACAACCGCCGGCTTCTGGTCATCCGGAACGGCACCAGTGGCCAGAGCCAGCACATATGTGGCCATGACGCCATTGGCATAGGTCTTGTTGCTGTCATGGAAATAGCCTGCCACAATCTGCCACACCACGCTTCTCATGATTGCACTTTGGAGGGGGTGATCCATGGGCAGGCTGACATTCAACCCACGGATTTCCAAGCCGCTAGGCTATGACCTTTCCGAGAAGAAGCACAAAAGGAAGCAATGCACCAACCAGCTCACGGGACGTCAAGACGATTTGTGCCCAGCCAGCAAGGGCCCCACAAACCACCAAAGCCAGCCTCAACATCTTTGTCCGCCAAAATTGTCTTGAATCTAGGAAAGGCAGAAAGCTGCGACGCACCTGTCCCTTGATCACTTCCTGAGTGGACTAATCTTGAAGAAGCACCAATGCGTGTAGTCCGGCGTCTGTTGTTGTGTGTGTATGTGTGAGTGAGTAATTTGACCCGGCCATCTGGGACAAGGATGGAAGGATTGATTTGAACAGAGCCCAACCAGAAAGTGCTAAGTCCAGATTCCTGACAGGTTGATCTCTCTGGGCAAACTGCCACCTAGTTCCCAAACTGGTAAGAAGAAACCCCCCGAGTAAAAGACTTTCATTGGTGAGCTCAGTTTACCCCCCAGGCCCAGATCCTAAGAAGTGCACAGTCCAGGAATTGGTCAAAATCCCTGTCCTGCATGGAACTCCTGCAGCATCTTCTGGTGCCAGGCGCGCCAGGTCTTTGCCTCCGCCTGCCCTGGCCGATAAAAAAAGCGAAACCCCCCGACCCAGTGCTCCCTTTGCCACCTGTGTCAGGACCAGTTTTGGCATTCCAAGAATAGATCTACCATGGATTGATGGATTGTTGTCCAGCGTAGTCTAAACATGAACATGTTTGGGGGCAGCGCCAAGATCTCACAATTCACACGTACAAACTCGGGCGTGCGCGGGAATCAAGGGAAGGGATTTGGAGCTTAGAATGCAATCTGCCCGGCTGTCAAAATTCGAGGGGCCGGTTGGGAAGCCCTGGGCACAAGGCGGCGTTGAACAGGGCGCCCTGTTGACAGCCCCCCTCCCCTTCCGAAACCCAGCTGAGCAAGTAAAAAAAAATCAGCCACCCCCCCCGCCCCAAACTGACGCCAATGGCACCTTGGGCCTCCGCCAGCTCCGCTCCCTGGGCCACGCTCCGCAGCAGCGCCGCGGCGGAGGTGAAGCCCTGGAATCCACCCGGGTGTTCGCAACCCCTCCCCAAGCTTCCGCAAGGCACCAAACAAGTGCTCCGTCTGAGAGCTTTCCGAAATTTTCTGAATTGAGTCGGGTCCGCCTGGAGGAAAAGTAATGTCAAGCTTGTGCATCCACAGTGGGCTGGCGGTTGGGCAGAACACAGCGGAACTGTATTCCTTTCAGATTGGTACATCCAAAAGCCCAACCTTCCACGTACCGTTCAATCCAGTTTTGTGGGGGTGACAATTCAGGTGTCATTTCAATCTTGAGCGGAAACACCGTGACCGCGACCCTTAAATGGGGCCCCTGCTTATGACACAAATCCAACGCGAACTAATACCCCCCACTCCCGTGCCTTTGGCGGTGTCTCTTTGTCGCCCTTGCCAGGGGTCCTGCAAGGTAGGGACGTGGCCAGGAGCATCGATTGCTGGGCCGCACGTTGAGACTTGGTTCTGCCTCTAAGTCGCCAAGCTATTCGCATGCGGCGCGCAAGTGCGTCGGGAATTCTATGGCCCTCGGCCCCTGTGAAACAGGAGGCCAACAAAAAACAAACCTTGGAACTAAAGCACTCAAAAGCCTCCGGCTTCGAGGAGCGGCATCTTGATACAGGCGCGTCGTCCCAACAAACATTCTCAATCAGGCGAGGCTCATGCCCGCTTTCGTTAAGCCCATGGAAAGGGTCCGGACAAATGGAGAAAACAAGTCCCTTGTGTGCCCTCGTGTCCCCTTCTGGCTTCCGTTCAAAAAAACTGCAAATCATAGGGCATTAGGCTCTCAGGCAAACATGCCGCCAAGTGCCGCCACCATTCCACCAAACAGACGTAGGCCATTCATGACGAGTGGGTCCCGGTTGCTCGGGCTCACATGGCCATGACTGCTCCTTGGCACAAAGGGGCACCTTACCAAGCAGGGGCTGTCTCCCTTGACACTCCTGGGTGGCGGGCACCAGTCGCCATAGGACTGCGGCAAGGAAGTCATGCCACCCCTCAGACCAAAGGGCATCACCACAAGGGGCACAAATCCAGGAAAACGTGTGACAACGATTGCGTTGACCTGTCAGCGCCCCCCATGAATGCTTTTGCCCTTGAGTCCAAGAGACATTCCAACACGGGCCACCTGACCGAAAATCCGATGCCGCAAAGGAAAAGCCCAACAGTGGCAGTATGCCATTAAGAAGGTGTAGCGGCAAATTGCGGTTGGAGATAATAAGCATTAAAGGGAAACTAATTGAAACCGCACAAAGCGTATCCAGTATCCAGCGCAAGGGCGCCAAACCAACAGACCCAACTCCTTCAGCTCTGATCGCTCGCACCCATTGCACTGAGGCGCGAGGACTGATACTGCTTCTGCAGGAAGCCGAGGTGTGACTTCACCCCGGTCCAGTGGTTCTTGGCCGGCGCTAAGTCGCCCTCCTGGGCCCGCACTTTGAGAGGAAGCCGCCAGAAGCGCAGAAGCGCTGCCGGAGGCGGAACTGAGAATGGGTTCCAACAAAAGGGGAACGATGAGCCGCCACACAGTGCAGGTTGAAACCTGCTTGTTGGAACCTGTTCAGAGTCCCCTGCAACTAGGTTCCAGGTCAGCTGGTTTCACAAACGATGAAACCTCCTGTGCAAATGGCCGCGCGCCACCAAGTGCGTCCAAGTCTCGACCTTCCAAATGCCCCAAAGGTTCTCCTGAGATGCTCGGACTAACAGGCTAGCCTCTAGCCACTAGCCTCTGACACAACAGCTTCCAAGGCACAAGTGCAGTGATACGCCGATTCCCAATTGGGACCAACCCACATTTCCCAAGCTGAACTACCCCCCGCCCCGCCCAGCAGGAAAGGAACCCACTGAGCCAGAGAAACAGAAAGGGTTGACCTTAGGGGGCCATGATCTTACAAGCGCCTAGCCAAGGACAATGGGAAGCCTCGCAGAAGGATTCGCCAGTAGTCCTTCCGAACAGCCAGCGCTTGCCAGGCGGCGATGCATTCCCCACAAGAAAGGAAAGGCGCGCTTTGCGAATCTGATCAGCACGGCTTAGCAGCCGACGCTTAAACCACTGCCAATTGCCCAAAAGGTGATGTTCAAACCGCAAAACCGAAGTGCATAGGTCAACCAAGGTTCACTAAATGCCACGTAATTCATCATGTTTTCCCGCTGGGAACAGAACACACCTTCTTTGGCTGGTTGATTTTGACGGAAAACCCAGCCCAACAAACACCGCAAAGCCGCCCCCAAAGAACAAACAACACACACCACTGGAGGTCTGGGAAACCCGAGGCTTTCCAGCGCCGCGCCAGGGGTCCAAGTAGGCGGCGCTCCAGGAGAAGTCCGCAGGGCGGCCGCCGAAGCGCTGGAAGGGCACCACGTCCTAAGTTGCATCGGCTCGGGTGAGGGGATCTGTCTCTATAGGTGGCCAAGTTAAAACTAGATGGCCCTGGTAAATGGAACCAATCTAAACCAGCGCCATCGATGCTCAAGCAAACTAACCTGAAAAGGACACCTATGTCTGTCTATCTATTTCTATCTCTCTCTCTCTCTCTACCGTTGCGTCCAGATTGTTCTGATTGAGCGGTGAGGGAATGTTTCTCTTGTGGCATGGCCGTCTCCTGCTCGTCCGGCCTTCTCCAACGAGCAGTTCCCAGACCTTTCTCACCGGCCTTCCGTTCTCGCATATCTTGGCCTCTCGCAAACTGCGACTCCTCTTTGCAACGGCGCCATCAGCGTCTCTCACCATCTTCTTCAACAGGCTGTTAGCTTCCTCGTCTTTCCACTCAAATTCACACGCGCGTAGCCGTGGTGTCCTTCACCCTTGCCGCGTCGGTGTCCGGGGCCTTCGGCATGTCCTTGTTGCTCTCCGCGCTGGCATCAGGAATCTCATCTTCCTGGCATTCGCCTCGATCTCCAATATTATCTTCTCCTTCCCGCTCAACCTTGCCATGTTCACATCCTCGTTCTCCGCGTGTCTTTTCCATTCTCGGGGGTGAGGATCTCTTCCACCTCTGCGTTCAGCAACGCGTGTGAGAAGATGCTCTCCACGCTTTCCGGTCTTCAGGGTCTCCGAGTCGCGGTTGGGCCACTTCATGGCTTTCTTTCCGAAGCGCAGCGCGACCTGAGGCTTCTCCAGCATGGGTCTGCCAACCAAGATCCGGGCAGCTTGTTTCTCGCGCACCTGTTTGCGGTGAAACAAGGGCCAGCTCCCTCACACGCACGCTTGTTTTCGGAGGGCAGCGTTCTCGCGCGCACACGGCTGCTACGGGCCGGCACGTGAAGAGAAGATGGGCACGCAGCGAGACGCTCAAGTCCGGGGAAGGCCCATCAAGGTTGCTCAAGCCGGGGGGGAAGTGAGGCTGTCAGCCAAGGCTAGCCAAGCTGCCGCGCGCAACAAGCCGGGTTCTGGCTGTTCACACCCTGGTGCAGGAGGTGCTTGACACACTTCTTGACGTGGTACCTCGACCCAAGGAACGGCGCGGCGCCACCGTTCGGCCACTGGAGATCTCCGTCTTCTCCATGTCGGTCTCTTCCACCATGTTGACGTCGTCTGCATCATCCTGTCGTTTCCGCATCGAACCACCGCTTGGATGCTACGCGGCGTAGCTGCCTTCCCGCAGCGGCATATCCACATGCCTTGGCACTCGATGAATTCGGTGACGTCGGTGTCCTCGACAACTGCTTGCCCGCCTTTCTTGCCCTTCTCGCCGCCCTTGGACTTTCGTTGAACACCGATCATGGCGACCACGGGGTAGAAGGCCCTGAGAACCATCTGTCTCTGCTCCTTGGTCACCCCACTGCGGCGGATGAACCACCAGGCGCAGATCCTCTCCAGCAGCTCCACGTTGTGGTTTGTCTTCACTTCTCAGGGTCCTCGCGAAGTCGGCCGCGTACTCTGAAATTCTCGAAGTCATCCAGCAGCTCCGTCAAAGGATTATATCGGAACCCAGCAGACCAGGTCAAAGCCATTCGTCTCCGCCAGGCTCTCGATGTTGAGGTCCTCCACAAGATCCCAAGCTCGGCGCGTCAGCATCTTGATGATGTTGTAGGGGTTTCCTTGCTGCGGCTCGCGCCGCTTGCGGAACTCCTTGTAGTCCCTCTGCTTTCCGTTGAACACGGGCGCATCGTTGTCAGCCCGGCCCATGTTGACCTCCGAACCGGTATGGCTTCAAAGCACCTCCCCAGGCGAAGCCACCTCCGGCTCACACCACCAACAACAAGAGTTGGCTAAGGACTCACCTCCCGTAGCTCACGAAGTCCACGGGGTCCAACCACGTACGAGAGCGGCGTAGCCGTTATTTTAACTCTCGAGCCCGCCCTGTCGCGGTATGTCATGCTTTTGGCAAACACTTCACAGGGGCCGTTTGGCACCCAGGCTTCCAATGCATTGAAATAAACGAAACCACAAACGATCGCAAGCAGCAGCTTACTTCCCACGTTCTGAAGCCTTTGGTCAATGTTGTCAAGAGGCTGGAAGGGATCCATCATCTCCCAGCTCGTCGGACATGGAGTCCAAAAATGCTGCTGCCTGCAGCAAACATGATTCCCAACTTGCCCAAATGGCCTGATAGGGAATTATGACAACATATAGCGTGCGTAAATAGGACTGCCGCAGCTTTGCCAACCACAGCCCACCAGCGCAACAAAATGAGCCGAGCAGCGTGCGATTGCGTCGGATGCATTTAGAGGGTAGAAACCTAACCCACATCGGACTCTACAACAACCTCCGCTGAACATAGACACCCTCAACCAATTGCCGTGATACACAAGCTTAGCAGCGTTTACAGCGCATGCATGCATGGACAAGGCAAAACTACGCATGCATGCATAAACGCTTTTCATAGACCCATACTAGTAGACATGCGGCGTTGGTCTTGCCACCGCACTGGATTGCTTTGGCTGCCAGGCCGCCATGTCCTTGTAGCCCCAGTGCGTCAGAAAGGTCTCCGCGCTCAGCGCAGCGTCCCCCATCCACCCCAGGCGCTCGTCCCGCTGGGGGCAGTCTGTCGGCACCTGACGCATGGGAAGCAAACCGACTGGAGGTTCTGAGTGGAGCAACTGCTTTGATTTGCTTCAACAGCTTTCTTGAACCTGGTTCAAGCCCAAGTGTGCACAACTTCCGCAAACCCATGGAGCACTTGGACATGTGGTCTTTCGAAGATCTTACGAGCGCCTCGGGAACATGATCCCATCTACCACACCCAGGGTCCCAGATTCAACTGCCGTCTGGCAAGGTGCTCGGAAAACCATACGGGGCACCGGGTCTGTGGTGTGTCAACAGTGCAAGGAGAAGCTGGTACACAAACGATTTTGTGTTTTTGCACCAAAGCTGAATAAATTCCCAAGCCGCCTCTTTTCATTTCCGCTGCTACCACGGTGATGCAACCATGCACAACCCACAGCAGGGATCTTCCCCAGCACATGATCATGAATGCAAATTTCTGCACCATGTGTTCCAACCAACCCTCTGGTGCCGAGCAGGTAGACTATGCCGCCCTCCCACCTGCATGAGGTTGGACCTCTGAACCCCCTTGACGCCGAGGTGAATCGCCTCGAGTCGATCCGGCGACCGGCGGTTCAGGGGCAGAGTCATCCTTGCCAGGTTCCAGGCAACTTTCGCGAAATACCCATCAAGAAAAGGTTGACCCTGAGCAAATGTGGGCCCCTGGGTCTGAGAGACCCAAAACCAAATCAGTTCGCTTTGGGCCGCCATCAACCGAGGCACCTGAAGCACTTCGTCCGAGAAGGTGGCATTGGCCTTCTCCGGCAGGGCCGTGTTCAACACGAGCCGCTGGATGCTATCTGCCGTCAACGTCCCTCGGGACATAAGGTAGCAGGCGCTCTGTCAATACCAGGCAACGGCTGGAATGTTGAAACAGGCGGGACTGCTGGATCATAAGCCCAGGTTCATACCAGGGAACAGGTTGGGTTCATAGATGCAGGCTGCTGAGTGTCCACCTGGCAAGCCGTTGTGTTAGCCTGTGATTCCTTGTTTGGATAGCACTGGACCTGGCGCACACGTACAAACTCACAGGGCAACACAGGAGCAAGAAATGCCTTGGTTGCCCGCCGGTGGTGCTTCACAAGGTGCCCTTTCGTCTTCGAAAGCTGCCCTGCCCACCCGAGCGCCATCCCTTTAGGCATCGGGCCACCTTCGAAAACTTGCTCTTGCTGCTGGCCCTTGGGAAACCCATGAGAATGCTACACACACAGAAGCCAGAAGGGCCAAGTGGGAAATCAACATGAACCCTGTTTACAAACTGCCTCTCGCATTCTTCATTTGCAAATGCTACTAGAAATCCAAAACCTGAAGCAAGGAATCCCAGAGTAGGGACCTACATCATGGTGACCTCACCATTCTAGAAAATACAGAACTGATCCATGTAAGGCGCCTGGGTAGCCGTAGACCTCCACGTAGCGGAACCCGTGATAGGTGAACCTGGGCCTCCAGTTTTTGACTGGCCCACTGAGCACCAGCGTGTCATTGGCCTGCGCAGACCTGGCAGGCAGAATCTGGGTGAACACTTCAAACAATACAAGCATGGGTGTTTGCGCTTGAAGAACAATTTCTTGCATATAACAATAGCAACAACAATCGCGATTCCAATCCAAAATGAATATGTCCAGGGGAAGGAACCTCCAGTATTATGGGTGACTCTTTGTCCAGTTGGGCCAAGAACGCTGAGGGAGCGCGGGCCACCGCCTAACAGCGGGAAGTGATTGGGAAGTTTCAGAGCTAAGGCAAGGGTAGCGATGACCCACTGATCTACAATCCTAAACACCTCAACATTTGGCGGCATCACAACCTAGCTGGACATTCAAGCCTTCCCTGGCAGCAGGGACCGGTACCGGCTGACCAAACATCAAAAGCCAAACCATTCAGGCGCTGAAGCCTCAACCCCTGTTTGGGCCACCGACGCATGAGAACCGAGAACCCTCGACTCAAGGAGCCGCCTGAGGTTGCCGAAGAACACGCGGGACGGGTCCACCTTGACATCGGGCATGTGCGCGTGCTGGAGCACCTCCCCTGAGCGGGAATTCTGCCTCATCTGAGCTATCCTAGAAGCCCCCATACAGGTGTGTTGCAGGTGGTCCCAACCCAAACCTTACGCTGGGTCCCTTCGGTTTGTTTTTGAGACACTGTGTGTATGTGGCTATGTTGCGGGTTGTGTTCAACACTCGGCCCCATAGTATTCGAAGTAACCAATTTCGGAGTTAGGGTCCAGGAAGTCTAGCACTACTACCTGTGAATTGTTTTGTACTACTGTCAGGTTCCAGGAAGTCAGGCAACACTACTTTAAAACTGCTAAGTTGTTGTTTGTTGCGGGCTAGACTGTCGGAAGTTTGGCAATATTGCTTTATAACAGGCAATGCTCCGTTCAATCGCTTTTCTGGCAGGATCCATTTCCCGAAGTCACCCAAGAAAGTGTGTTGTTGACAATATCACTTTGAAAGGGACAATTCTACTTCTGAATTGCTTTTGTCTTTGCAGTCCGGGAAGTGGCCCATATCATTGGTTTTACTTGGTGGCGGTGTTTTCTGGCAATGCTACTTCTAGCGGCAATGCTACTGTTGAATTGCTTTCGTTTTGCGGTCCATTTTTAGGAAGCGACCGAAACCATTAGCTTCAGGGGTAATTAGTCGCCGCGTGACTTTGTGAGGGGTACCCTTGGCTGATTGTGTTATGTTGTTTGAAAAGGTCTTAAAAAAGAACATGGAGAACGTTGACCCCGCAAATGTTGCTTCCTTTTGTTTGGCCTCAGGAAGGGAAGCTGGCAATAACCTCAAAGACTCGAACCAAACGAAAACAAGAAAACACGCTGAGCTTCATTTGGGGGCCGCTTCATTTGGTGCCACATGACTTTGTAGCGGGTACCTTCGTACGCGTTGGTGCCAAAGACTAGGACCAAAAAAGCCCCTAGGGGTCAGGTTTGCAGTGGGGTGCGAAGACCTGGACTGGGTCCCAAAGAATAAGGTTGGAGATGAGGACAAATTATTCAGGGCAAACAACCCTTAAGCCGCCTGAAGCTGCGTTGAGGTTCAGAATTCTGCTAATCATAGGAGGTCTTCCCCCCCCCTTTTGGACTTCTTACAGTGAAGCCACGAGGAATTCTAAAAATATTTTGGGATATTTTCAAATATCTCCCATTTCGAGAGCCCAAAAAGTCACGACTTGAAACCGCCGGGGCGCCGTGCTTCATCGTCACCGTGGCTGCCTGGGGCACCGACAGCTGGCAGACCCCCGCCACGTTGGAGCCAAAGTCCACCACGAAGACGCCCGCCGCCTGAAGCCCGAGCGGATCGGGCGCGGGCCCTGGTGGCGCGGGGGCAGCTGTGTGGACGGAATACATGCACAAACAAAACTTCCCACAGAAAAATGTAACAAGCACCAACTGTCTGGAACATGGAATGCTCTAAACGTCCCAGCTAAGAACCAAAAGCTCCTGCGATCGGATCTCGAGCATTGGTTGATCTAACGACTTTGGCAGCTCCAGGGCCACTTTCGCTTTGCGCCCAGAATAAGGCCCCGGCCCGCCTTGGCATCAAGGGCTCCTTTCAAATCCCACAAAATGGACCCCGACTTAGGGGGCCTCTCGGTCCCAAGACGTCGACACCTTCCCCTCTCCCCAAGTGAAACTATTCTGGAAGTCTTGGTGAATGATTCGTTGGAATTTGTGTCCCCCCCATTCGTCACTTTGGCCTTGGAACAATAGGTCTGTCGTTGTTTGAGGCGGTGACAGGGAAACCTCCACCTATAAATCCAAAAATGAAGGAAACCAAAGTGGTAAGCTTGCTTCAGACCGAGGGACACCGCATCTCCACCATCTAGAGACATCTACCAGCAATCCAACGTCCACTGAGCCCCCGTGCCGGCTCCGTGATCTTCAACGCGCGGTCCACCCGGGTCACCTGCCAGGCTCGATGGTGAGTGTGCAGTCTCCAGATTTCGCCAAGCATGTTTGAAATTCCTGGAACGATGCATCCCCAAATCAACAGGTTCGCTACTGGATCCTCTATGTCCTGCATACGAATGAACAGGCACACACACACACACACACACACACACAAATGCACAAGCACACACTGTACTGTGCATTTCTTAAAAAGTGCTGATGTACGTATTGTATATACGAATCACATCGTTGACCGAACGTCCGAAACCGGACCCATTTCCGGCCTGCACACCTGGGAAGGTGGCCGGCACCATGGCACCCCTGGGGCCCGGCACTGTGCTCGCTGCAGACCACGCGCCTGGATGCTGCGTAGTCAACTTTCTTCTGGGGAGTGAAAACTCCCTCATCTTTCGAGCCTGGAAACAAATCTGCTGCCAACCAGCCCTCCCCACTCCCCAGTGAGTTACACTTCAACCACAGGGACCAGTAGCCTGGAAAAGGCACCACAGGGCTGAGTGACCCCCTCTTGGCCTGCAGCGGCAGGCACGTACACCTCGCCGTCGTATACCGAGTCCTCCACTACAGGGCCCTGCCGGCCACGCCAGCCCCCGCTGCCGCTGTGGAACACCGTGCGCCTTGGTGCTGGCAGGGCCCGATGTCTTCTTTTTTGTGGCTAAAACGCAGTATGACTGGATGCAGGCTGGGCGTCCCTCCCGCCCGCAGCTGCATCCGGAAGATCTTGGGCGTGACATCCTGTGGGTCTGCCCCATCCTTGTAGACAGGAAAGCGGCCATGCGGGTCACACCTGAGCCAGTTTGCTTCAGCCTGAGGCGTCACCGACTCAAAACAGCCATACTGGGAGAAACATCCTTAAATGGATGTTCGCCGTTAACAACCCGATTCGCTTGGCAGACCTTTCCATAGGCAACAACCGTTACCTCCGTGCAAAGCTAATCATGGGCTTCACAAAAGCGAGTTGCTCGCGCGACACGCGAAGGATTTCGCTCCGCCTTACGCTCTTGTGCTTGAAAATGATGACAAATCGCAGGACTACTTAGCCCTGCTCCAGCTAGCCGCCGTCCTTGTTCCAATCACCGCCCGCCACTAGCTACAGTAAGACGCAACAGTATGCTCACAGGATCCACGCAGGAAGCAACCCCACACGCACGCGCGCAAAAACGCACACACACACACACAACTGCGCGGACCAACCCGTCCCTTGATCCAGTGTGCCTGTATCCACAGCCCAGCCCGACGAAGATGTCCCCGCCGCCGGAGGCGTTGAGCAACTTGGTCACGTCGTAAGTCCGGTAAAGCACCCGCTTGTCGGTCCGCGTCCAGCCCGAGTACGAGAGGACGTCCTGGTGCTTTGCACAGCGCATGGCCAAGGACATTGCGAAAGGTGAGGTTCAAACCAACTGCGCAGTGCATGTGCCTTGAACGGCATAGTTGTAGTGGTTCCCTTGCAATCAACATGTTTCCTTACATGTTTGTTTTGAGCACCACCCTATCAAAGGGAAATTCATCAACATTGGCAACCAAAGGTACTGTGCGAGCAGCAAAACAACAATCTCATAAGGAGCCCTCATGAACACATAAAAAGAAACGTCCCAGCTCTCCTGGCTTTATACGCTTGCATGCCACACGAAAAAATGGAGAGCATGATTCATCCTCACCGCTTCTGCGTCAAAACATGGAGCATGCCAAAGCCCAATCATTCAGCCGGAAATGATGACTTCAAGCTTGGGCGGCATTGTCACCTGCTGCCTCCTGTCGCTCAGTCATGAGTAAGTCACGTTGACAAGAGGTGGCTCTCTGCACATACGGGTGCAGAAAACTTACTGGGTGTTAGCTGCTCTCTACCCATGCGCCTGTGAGACCTCCTGGTCATTGATGAGGACATAGCCAAAGCCAAGCGTGCTCACCAGGAGCCTGCAGTGAGTGCGGCCACCAAAGAACTCCACAAGTCTATGTTTCCCCCTGAGTAACAACCCCAAAGATACCCTCCGGTCCTCTACTGGGAAACGGAAACAAAGGGGCGCCTGCAGTTTGTTCCTCATTCCGGAGGCACCGTAACCTACGTGAGCTACTGAGGAAACTCTGCTGACACGCTTCACCTTGCGCCTTGCCGGGCACTGCCCCAATCATGAGGGGAAAAATATGAAGAAAAAAACTCACCGACTCGCTCACCCTCTGGTCCGAGCAGCTCAACGGGCCCAGCCACGCCCAGATTGACCTGGGCCTGGTACTCGTTGCTCGCATTGGCGCCCACCCAGGGTACGCCCTGGCACGTTTTCGACAAATCGCGAAACTGAAGCAAAAGAACCTGAAAAGGTTAGTCGTGACCCGTTCTCGCTTGGTCCAGCCGCCTGCCTTGAAAGGTCTGAGCAGGAAAATCAACTCCGACGGCCCTGATTGAGCACCCCCACAAGGCCAAACCCGGCCAAACCCGGCCAAACCCGGCCAAACCCGGCCCAGTCCAAGGTCACAATGCGCATGGCCAGGGCCTCCCAAACATCCTCCTTCTCCGCGACAACCACCTCAGAGAACACCTCCTCGGAAGCCTGTGAGCGAGCGAGGCAGGCAAAATCCCCCCCCTTACCAGTTAACATGGAACCTGACAGGAGGGTCCTGGAAACAATTTTCCTGTTGCCTTTTTTTTAAGGGACCCCTGTCAGGTTCTATGTTAATTGGTGGGAGGATACCCTTCTGGAAAAAAGCAAGTGCTGGAGGTCTCATTGAAAACGTCCGCTTGTCTTGATTGAAATCCGCTCGCTAGTGGTGGCTGGCTGCGTGCAACCTGCGTGCTATTACACGCTCCCCCACCCAGGGTGAAAGTCCAGGATACAATAAAGGAAAGTTCTACGGTGACACCTCCCCCATCCACCAACATACAGTCAAGCGGTTCGCACCGGGGGGCAAGGAGTTCAAATAAACAGCATGACGCGGCTGGTACCAGCCGCCTCGTCCTCTGGCGTCCACCACTGCACGGACCAGCGGTACCTCCCTGCTTGCAGTGACAGCTCGGCGGCCGGCAGCCTCGGCCCCAAGAACCGAACGACGTCCGGCGGGCTTGTCCACCTGACCAAAAAAATCCACCTTAGCAAAAATGCAAGCATTTGGTGGAGGGAGGAGATTGAAGCATATGGGAAGCCTGGATTTTGCTTGATGCTGGAGTAGTGTTCTAATCGGAACTCTGCACAGGCGTCCTCTGGATTTTGCGGGTTCCCCCAGATAAGCGTGCCTTCTCAAGGGCTGGCATGTTGGTTTGTCAGCCTTGGCTCTGGCTACATAGTTTCAGGCATCACCAGTTCAGAGGCATCACCAGCATCAAAGGCATCACCAGCATCAGCAGCAGCACAGGCATCACCAGCAGCCATGGATGCGGATTTGCACGTCACACATCGCCAAACAAAACAGACTCATATTTTTTCCGGGCCTTCTCCGGATTTTGCGGGCCTTCTCCGGTTTTGCGGGCCTTCTCCGGGTTTGCGTGCTCCCCCAACCTCTGTGTGCCCGCTCATTTTTATTTTTATGTTTCTAAAAAAATAAAAAGTTGAGAAGGCACTGTCCGCTTGAGAAAAGCCTGTGGCCAAAAATGAGGTAGCAGTAAAAACGCACATCGGCTTTTCCCCGGGGTATCGTGCCTTCTCAGTTGTGTTTCTTCTTTTATTTTTCGGGCGGTTCCCCCCAGCCGGTTCTGTGTCGCCCTGATCGGATCCCCTGTTTGATTTCTTGGGGATCCTAGCTGGTTTTTGACCACAGGGAAAACAACAGGGTTCCATGTCCAGTCCCAGGGGCCCAGATTGCTTGTGAAACAGCGCCTAAAGAGAAAGAGTACTCAGTGCGTTGAACCTTCGCGTGAGGGGGGGACAGCTCGGAAAGCAATCATCAAGTAAATTCATGTCTGGGTGTAGCGCCCTTTAGAGCGGTTCCAAGCATTGAGAAGGCATGGTCCCCTGGAGAAGCCTCGGGGATGGGGGTCCAGACCCTCGATCTAAGGGACTGCACGGGGCCCTCCCAGACTCGATCTTTCTTGGCTTTCACCAGCTCACTTCAGAGCAAGAAAACATCGAGGACCAAGAAGCATCTAAACCCTTGCACCAACATTGCCCTAATGCCTTCCCAAAAAGTCGTCCAGACAACCCGGCTGGTCAGCCAGCTCTGCCCAACGGCGGTCCCAGCAAAGGGCCCCCGGCCCAGAGGTCAGCTCCACGGCTTTGGCACCCACCCGCAGCCGGAAGCCCTTCATCACCACGCCCTGCCTGCGCAAGACGCAGAGGACCTGTAAGCGTCCAAGCAGATCCCAACTTTGAACACCAGGCACAAGATGAAACAAAACGGACTATGTTGAAACCTCAGAAGGGCGTTGCTGAAATCGGGAACGCTCAGGCGGAGTAATGCCTCATGTGGTTGCAATGAATCTTCCCTGGATCTCGCCCATAATTAAAGGCCTTGCTCAAGACGCAAGGTTCCCCTCAAACACATTGAAGGCCTTGCCAAGCTGGCGCACAGCACAGCGGAAGCAAACCCGAGAATTACTGACTCAACATTGCCGCACCCAGCTCCCCAAAAGAAGAGGCTGCTCTTTGAATTGGCTCATATATAAACTGAGGCCTTTCCACGTGCAGGTCGCCGAGCCTGAAATGCAACAAAAACGGAACAGCATCCAAAGATCCCAGATTCCTGTTCGGGCCCCTTGGGCCCCTACCGGCTCCCAAAGTCCGGAGCAAAGGTGAAGCGCACCGGCCGCAGCGACGACACTGCCTGAAAGCTGATGCCACAGATCCCTTTGGGTCGGGGGTGTCCAAAAATGGGAAGCCCGCTTCAGGCTGGTTGCCAAGGGAAACGAAAGAAAACCCTATCACAGCCGACTCTGTTTTGTGGGCCCCTTGTCCTTGGCAGTGATTGCCCCAAAACTCAAAGCTTTCCGTTTAGTTACTTTCTCTCCGAACTCAATCCAAAAGGGGAGGTTCCATTTGTTGGATGGTGCTTTACACTTCACGTAGGGACCACCTCAACTCTATAAAGCGGTTGTTGTTCAATTGTTGCCGGCTTGACGCCCCAAGAATGGGCCGTACCACGATGGAGAGACCGAAAAAAGGAGCGGACCTCTAAACGTGGCAATTTCCTGGTGGCTGCCTTTTATTTGCACACACCCCCAATCTCGGGAAACACCTAATTTGTTGATGCCCGTTGCTACAACTGCCATGTTGAAACATGTTCTGATTCGAGCTTTAATGGGCAGCTCACTGTGGGAAAGTGGCCTGTAGACGCCCCAAGCACACGACAGAGCCTCTGACTGCAATCAACCCAATTATGTTGCGCCCCAAAGGCGCAACAAGCCCAGCTTTAGGACACTTGAGAATCAAAATGGCCACGAATGGCGTGATGCAATTGCGTAGCTTGCTGTTGCGCTTGCTGTGGCGCTTGCTGTGGGCGACATGTAGCCAGCTCTTTCCCTTCCTCCTGACGGCCCTAATGTGCCGTTGTGCCACCTGCGCTCGGATGAAAGGACCCCAGATCTTCCCACGGCCGCGGCCGGCGCCACCAACACAGAGTCAAGAAGATTCAAAGATCTTTCAACCCAAGCCTAAAAAGATACCTGAAACGATGAATCCCATTTGTTTCAAAACGCATGCGGCATCTTTCGGGCTGTGGTGCTCGCAACGCCCAAGCCTCGAGCTGCCCTGCGCCCCTTCCGCCCGAAGGCGCCGCCGAGGTGCAAAGCCCCCGTGGGGTCGGAGCTGACGAACGCTCAGCGGCTCATCGCAAAGGCCTGGCTCGACGCAAAGGCCAACACGGCCATCTGCACCAGCCGAACCCCCCGCAAAAACCAAAACCAAGGGTCCGGGAGCGGGAAAATCTCGCCGCTTATGCGGAAGCAAGGGGTGCCAGGTTACTTTCAGGCGGGCTGGTGGATGTGGTGGCTGCCTCCAGTACAGGTGTGTAGACCTGGTCTTAGGGGTGGGGCTTGCTGGTTGGCCAGCGAATGCTTCCAAAAGCGTTCGAGGGCATGATTCAGGATCCAAAGCCAGGCTTAGCAACACAAGGCCGGGTGCCTCAAGGATTCTGACCTCACTGACAATTGCTCCAACCCGCCCTGCCAACTCTAAGTGGCTGAAGGCTCGCAAAGCGCCCAAACAGCTCAAACAATTTATGCAGCCACCCTGATGGAGAGTCGGACGTTTTCAAATTGTTCAAAAGGGTGGCTGAAAGGTGTGGCCTTACCCATCTCCCCACCTGCCGCCACGCACCAAAGCGCGAGAAAACCAAGGCAGCGGGCCATTGTGCGCCAAAGGATCTGGGCAACGTGCCTTTTACTTCACCAATCAGAATGCTGAATCGCAAGTCGCAAAAGAAGGCAATACTGATCATGGGCCTGCAGGCACCTTAACTCCTGGAGTCACTACCATTTGTGCCAGGATGCAAATTCCTGAGGGGACGTTGCGTTGGACTGTGGCCCACTCAGGGTCTGTCAGGACGTTGGACATGGTCTTTTGCCTCCACCTCCGAGCCCAGTAGCCCATGAGCGCCAGGAAAGAAAGTCATGAAAGCATCACTCGGCTGCGCATGCCTCGCGCTCGACAAAGGAAATTGGCATCATCTCAGCAGTGCGGCCCTTGCAATCCGGGCACACCTCTGCTCATGATCCTAGCAATATGCCATCCAACAAGTGCAAATATGCACCTAAGCTCACCCCAGGGCGCGCGCACGCACACCCCACCCACAACACACACACACACACACACACCAAACACGTTTGACAGCACAGGCACACGAGGTGCCTGGATCTTGACTTCGCTCAGCTTGCAAAATGAACCGCGGTCAGTCAAAGACATAAACGACGCATGTGACATGCGAACCGAAGCCAGGGACGCCCCGCCGCGAAATGCAACAAAGAAAAACTACAACAACTAGAAAGAAGTTGCCCAATGGCCACACTTAGGCCAACCGGAGAAAATACTGAGAGAAAATGAAGGCAACTTCAAAGGGCCAAAGGGCAAACCGGTCAAATCTGGCAAATGACTTCTGGCACATTCCCACCCGACCAACGCAACGAAGCACCGCCCCGCTGTCGCTTCTTCGCTCTGCTCTGCGGGGCGAAGACTCTGCCGCTCTGGAAGTGGACCCTATCTGGGCGCTAAACAGAGGGCCTGGGAAACGGAAGCAAGAAGATGTCCATCCACTTTTGGCTTCCTTTGACTTGTTTGGCTTCCAACTGCTCAAAAGATTCAAAAGCCGAACGCAGATTTGGTTTCCTTTTATTGGCAATGACCCCCCAATGAAGTTTCCCCTTGGTTTGTTCCTTTGTCTGGGGGAAACTTTGGGATTTAGCGCCCAACTATGCCACGGCGATGGCGAAGTTGAGCGGGGTAAAGCCATCCATGTCGATGGCCGCAGCGCTGGCCCCGGCTTGCATGAGCACGCCCAGCACTTCCTCGCGACGAGTCTCTGGAGCCCAGCTGGAAGGGACCCCAGGGTTGACCAAACTTTGGTGGATTTGGAACCCACCACAAAGGGAAAAGGGGCGCCACCCCAAACCCCCGCACCATCCATTTCTCTGGGATGGATTCTAGGCTTGTCAAGCAGGCAGGCACATCACCTGGACTGCAAAACAAAGTCCGAACTGTACATCGACCCTGTCACCTGCAAGGCAGGCCACAAGACGGGCATGAAAACTGATGGCTCCAAACAATAGCCGCCCAGACTCAAACCAAGGCACCTAGCAAGCAACCCCTCACCAACAGGTGTATTGGGCATGTGTTCGAACTGGGGACCTGTTCGAATGCGAGATTTTGCTGACCCGAAGAGTGCCGAATGGAATCACATAGAACCCTATACCCCCTGTCTGCAAAACGGCGAGTCGCTTCCTTTCGCGTAGGGAACAGGGGAATTAAAGCCTGAGTCTGTCGCTACGCGAAACGATTCAAGTCCAATCAACGCAGTTGGAGTGGGGCTCTATTTTGGCTCCCTTCCATCATTTGCTTGGTGCTTCATGGGTTCTGACAAATGAGTTCCATGCTACATCATCCCTTGGTGAATGCGGGAACCCGCTTGAGATGCACCAAGGTCTCGCGCCGGAAGCCAACCCAAAACAGGGCTCCTCCCCCCAAAAGAAACATGCGTCCCCCCCCCCCCCCCCCGCAAAAATCGGACAATGTTTGGCGCCCGCGAAACAAGGAGTAAAGTCGGAAATCGCCCAAACCTCAAGCCATCCCAAGCCCAAATTGCCAACCCCCCCCCCCCCGGCCGCAACAAACAAAAGCCGATCGAGTGCTGCCGTGGGTTCGGTCTGCCCCGCCAGGGACGCGTAGTGCACGGGCCGCCGCTGCAGCCGGTCCTGGGCCTCCGTCGAAGCGCCAGCGCTCAACAAACGCTGCGCCGCCCCGGCGCTGCCTGCACCGGTCTGGGGGGTCGGATGGGCTCGGAGTGGCTTTCACCATGGCCAGGTGACCAGCAGCTCTTCCCAGATTGACATGGGAATTGGAAAACGAAAAGGTGTCTACCCAAAAGCATGTAAATAAAACAAACAAACAGCCGCACCGTTTTTTCAGGGTTTGGGATTGTCCCTTACGAATCTTAATCTCACCTGGGCCTTGATCCGGGGTCACTTCAAATCTATTTTGCAACTGCCTTCTGCCTTCTTTTGCATGGCACGGGGAGGGCGACGAAGTCGATGATTTGAGTGCCCTTTTTGCGGGGCTGATTGAAAAGGAAATCAAAAGGAAAGAAACTGGTTTATCTTGAAGCACAATGGCTTCCTGCCTTGGAATTGTATGCGCTGTCTTTGTAACAATGAATGATAGTTCAAGTGCGGGGCAGGCTAAACCAAAGGATGGACGGCTCATGTCGCTCCTCATGGCCTACGCCCCATGCATGCAGTCCAGGAACCAACACAAGGCCGGGTTGACGTCTTGAATAACATGTCCTCTCTGAATTCCAACATCATTCCCACAACAGCGCAACCGTACATGATCAAATAGCCAAAGGCCCAAACACCAGAGTGAAAGTCGCAATGAACTCAACCTGGAACCCAAAAGGAGGCTCCACAAGGAGCTTCCTCTCAAAACGGCTAGTTTTGGAGCTCGAATGCTCGGAGGAAGCTCTGCTCTGGGGAGCCCCCTTTTGGGTTCCATGCAAAATTTGCAGGGAGCGTTCCATGCAAAATTTGCAGGGAGCACAAGGCAAACGCATTTAGAGGCAACCGCTCCTGAAATCCCGCAGGCCAAGTGTAGCGGGGTCTGCTGCGAGTCGTCCACAGCATCGACCTCCGCACCCTGCTCCTTGGACATCCGTACGGAAACACGCTTCGCACACAACGTGGAACCCGAAGGCACCTTTCCTCAGTTGCTGGTTGCGCCGGTTGCTGCTTGTGCCGGTTGCTGTTGCCGGTCGCTGGTAGTGCCAGTTTGCTGGTTTCAAAGGATATTGCAGGTGCATCAACCCAAGCTACGGCAAAATACAGGACGATCAGGAGATTTAAACCATCCGGGACTATCGCGTAGCTCGCAAACAACCAATACCAACCGATTCCGAGACAATTGGATTGCGAGCTAGGATCATTGTGGGCTCGGTCAAAAAAACGCTTCACTGCCGCCCAACACACAAGGAAAAAGCAACCGCTGCAACACCATCATGCTTATATTCACCTTGCCCGAGCGTGAAGCCCAGCATTTCAAAATGGGCTGGGTGGAATTGTGGCTACTTGTCAAGCCCTGCCTCGCAATCAAATCGCCTCCCCACAACAACCAAATCAACTCCAAAAACCCTCAAAGCTACACCCAAACGCCTCCAAACGCCTCCAAAACGCCCCAACAGCCTCCGGCCAATCACATGGCCCGGGCGCCACCAGCAGCTCCACCAGAGCCTCGTGGCCATTGGCTGCCGCATGGTGCAGCAAGGTGCGGCCCCAGCGGTCCCTTTGCGGCCTCGGAGCCAGTGCTGTCAGGCGCCTCCCAGGGGCGGAGCGGGAGATTGGTCTCCGAAACGAAGCCTTCGAAATGGCACAGCCAGGGGTGGGGCAAACGAAGGCCAGAGGTAGGGGGGAGGGAGTAAAAAAGCTCAGGAAGCTACATTGTCCACATATGTCCAAATGGATGCTCCATGTGGGCCCTGCACAGATTCTGTCACCTTGGTTCAAGGAGAAACGAAGCAGGAATCAACAAGTTTGATCCATTTTGGGGGGGTCTGAGACGCACGTGTTTTGCTTGCTTCGCCTTTTTGGCTCACGCGTGCCGCCTCACCAGCTCCACGTGCCCGGCCAGCACCGCCCAGTGCAGCGGGTCCCGGCCGTCCCTGTCCGGCGCCAAGGCCGCCGAGTCGGCCTCGCCCGAAGCGTCGGCCGCCAGGAAGCTGAGCAGCTGCAGCGACAGCTCCTGGTTTCCGATTTTTTCGCCTTTCGGGGTATTAATAGTATTACCCTTACTCTCCAGCAGGGTGAAAATAAGAAAACACTGGGCTGTCCTCAGATCCTGTGCTAAAAGTTGAACTTGTGGGTTAAATGGAAACCCCCACTGCACCAAGTCTGAAGGGCTAAAAACCTACAGGGATGGTGGGAACCACCAAGAATAGTATGGAGGCCCTCTTGGTTTCCTTCAAGCTTTCTGTTGGGCTGCTTGGCACCCAGTTTAACTGGGGATGCTCAAGACGATCAGAGATTCTCTTGTGATACCCATTGTATCGCAGAATGCCCGAACATCCATCAACGCCCAACTAAGAAAAACCTAGGAGAATGGGAGCCCACCCCCGTTCATGGTCTTCCCCCGGCTCCTCACTGGCAGCCCCCGGCTGGATGGCGGCGATTAAGGGGGTTCTGACCCAGGCGTCTGCTTTCCTGCCCGACAGCCCCCAGGCCCACTTTTCATGCGGCTTTCCAGCCCCGCTAAGCAAAGGGAAAGGGACGGCAAACTGTCGCAAACTCTGCCTGAATTGAACCAGCCATGCGCTCTGCCAACAGCATCCCCAATGTGACGTCCCCGGAAACCAGCTCAAACCCAGCAGCGCAAGCATGGATAGGTCAGCTCCCAAGAATCCCATGATAGGCCACCCCGCGGTTTTCCCGATGAACAGAACATCAAGAAAACGCGGCTGATGAAGGCACTAGCGCAGTGGTGTATGCAGCCTTTCTTTGAGAAACAGCGCAGGGGAAGGTCGAGATGACTCCCTACCTTCCCCCCTCTTCCCCAAAAATCGTCCCTTTCAACAACACACGACGACCTTGGAAACGGACCCAACCCGTTGGAGGTGACATCTTTGGAAAAACAACAGTTAATATCCCCAACAGCAGAAACCCTTCGGGAACCGGGAACCCTATAGCCCGCAGCGGCTGTGAACCGCTCAGAATTGTGGGGCACCCTAAGTGCTCCATACCACAAGGAAGCCAATCCAGCAAGCGCCCTGCGGACCGCCCAGAGCTTCCAGAACCCTTCGGAACCCTCCAGACCCTGTCAAACAAGCGCTGTGTGGAACCGAAAGAACCTTCAGAGCTGCTCCGCATGGAGCGTTGGGTCAGACCTCTCTCTGCTTTCAAATGCTAAAGCCCTGAAACCAATCACGCCAGAGCACGCGAGCATCTCCCGAGCCGCACCAGAAGGCTCCAGGAGCCGCCGCACCTCCGCGGCGTCGCCTTTGGCCACGGCCAGGTGAAGGGGCGACATGCCGTCGGCGCGGGCGGTGACCTCTGGCCGCCCCTCCTGGAGTAGCACATGCGACAGAAACCAAAAGAAAATTATTATTATTATTATTATTGGGCGTTGGAAGGGCCCCAACGTCCGTCTCCGGTTGTTTTTGAACTCTGCGGGCCCAACCATCCGGGAACGAACTGTCATCAATTGAGGTGCCTTGGTGGACATCACTCTGGGTATTTCATGTCAACAACCCACCATTTTCCCAATTGTTCAGGGCTTGCCGTTTCCGTAAGTTATACGTAGTCATTGTTCAGTGCCTGAGTTTGGTTCCTAGCTGGTGGCTGGGGAACGCCAAACCCTTGCCTGGGTCTCGGTTTGGCCCTCCAGCAGCCTGGCCGCCATCTCGTGCCCTGTGAGCCGTGCCCAGGCGGCCGCCGTGCGGTTCTCCTTGTCCAGGTGCCCCGCCTCGCTTGTTTTGACCCGGGCTGGCTTGCGGGAAGCGCTAAGAATGCCGCCTAATGCGAGGGGTTCCGGAACTTCAGGCCTTGTCATGCCGTGGTGCCGTGTCCCTGACACAGTTCATGGGCCACAATGCGAGTGCACCCTCGGCCCACTAAACCGAGCACACAGGCGACCCCATGGCCGCGCAAAGGCTATTCCTTCGTCGCAGGACCCCCCTCCCCCCTCCCACGCAAGCTTGTCTGGCTGTGTCTGACTGGTTGGGCAAAAGGAAATGTTGGCTGCCGGAACAATGATAGAAACACCTCAAAGAGGTGTTGGTTGGATTGGCTTATTCGTTTGTCAATATGCTTCTTCATTCATTTACGCAAGCTTGTAAGCCTGCTTGGTGGAGGTGCCAGACTGGGTTGCAGTGAGCAATGGGATGAACGGGCGAAGTTGGGCAAAGTGAGATACGACTTGATTCTCTAATCTGGGGCACCTACGTGGAGGCTCCTTGCGAGCGGTGGGAACCCGCAGGGAAAAGCCGGCGGTCCAAAGTTTTTGGGAACCCCCCGTCAAGAGTCCGGGCCACAGAGGCCCCGTGGCTGAGCAGCAGGGTGATGAGCTGCAGGTGGCCCCGGCGCGCCGCCCATTGCAACGGCTGGCACCCGAACTCGTTCTCCTGGCAAGTTCGGCCCAGACCCGTGCAAGTGGGCGGGGAGGGAGGGGGGTGGGGGGGGGGGGGGTTCTGTGTTTTCCAGATAATTGACATTCGTGCAATCACAGGTTTCCATTTGGGCTCAAGGCAAGTTTCTTTCGTAGCAGCCTGCAGCTAGCCATACAAAAGAGGGTTGCCAGAGCTCTACAGCATAATCAGAGAGATCAATAGAACGAGTCCCACGTCATGGCTCAATCCCGGCCCCCGACCCCGTTCCGGGTACTTCGCTGCCCGCCTGCGCGTCGGGTTGGGCCTTGAGGGCCAGCAGGCGCCGCGCGATTGGCTCCGCGCCATTCAGCGCCGCCCAGTGCAGCGCCGTCCAGCCCAGCTCATCGGGTGCAGACACCAACCCCGGCTTGGCCGCCAGGATCTCCTGCGCTGCTCTGGCGAGGGTTTTGGGAGTGAACCTAACACCCTCAAGTCAAACTACAAAGCAATTCTAGGGATCCTTCCCTCACTCGTTACTGAGAACCAGCATGTTTAACAGAGCTGAGCACAGCTTCCAGCAGAGGTGGGTGGGTGATGCGGCCCTGGAGCCTAATTAGATGATTGAACACTGAGGGAAAGTTGATGAAAGTTGGACTACCTTGCTGCTTGCTAGCAAAAGAGCAACAAGACCATTGGGCCAATCAGCCAAACAGCCAACAGCTGCCGTTCGCTCGCCCCTGTTCGCACGAGGGCTTTCAATGCTCCCAAATCAGTACCCCGAAAAAGAGTTAAAATGAGGGCGTGTCAGCCGCAAGTAAACGTGAAATGCCTCCTTGGTGGTTGGGGGGAGGAGGCAGGCTTTCTTTGGCTCTCCCTTTGCATCCCACCCTTCAAGGTAGACTGAAACCCAGGGTTGATCTCTAAAAGAGACAACCTGGATTTCACTCTGCCTTGATATGAGTGCCCACCCACGCCTCAACCACCTCGGCGTGGCCAAACTCCACCGCCTCATGCAGGGGGCTGCGGCCCCAGCCGTCCGCCTCCTCGTAGGAGTAGGCCTCGTCCGCCTCCAGCCCGCCCGCTGCAGCCAACAATGTCCGCACGCCCGAAGCGTCGCCTGGCACCGCTGCGAGTCGGGTGAAGTTCTGAAGGGGACCCGAATTGGAAGCCCCTCAAGCCGGGGCCCGCGCCATTCCAAGGGCCCTTCCGCCCTTCAAACCCGCATGCCTTCGCGCACCGCCGTCTGCAGCTTCGAGGCGGACGCGCACGCCAGCAGCAATGCCATGGCCACGGCCATGTGGGTGTCTTGTGAAGAAGGTGCCCTTGTTGGGGTTGCTGTTGAAGAACAAAGAACAACCACCATCCATTTGGGCCCCTTTCTTGAGACAGCTCCATGTGACCAGAGTCGTCCGGCCCTAGAAGGTGGGAAGGTTGAACAGTCCAAGAGATGAATTAGAGAAGCATGCAAACAGTTACATGATGTAAGTTACATGTGTGCATATGAAAGGTTGGTTCAGTGCGAAAAGGTGACCAATGCATCTTGAAAGAACTCAATGCACATCCTGGGGGGACTGCGTATTCTCAGAAAGCTCGCGAGAATATGAGCAGAATATGGCAGAACATCGTCGCAACGAAACAAAGGCCGGCAGCCGTGAGATTCATCAGACTCACACCTGGGCAAACGCAAAGCAGAAAGTGAAGTGGCCTGGTCCCCACCATGAACTTGCCCAAACCTGTCGAACATCTCTAACCAGGCGGTGACTGGGCACCTCTGAGAACCCCCTCCCTCTCTCTCTCTCTCTCTCTCTCTCTCTGGCCCATTGCGCTTTAGCGGTAGCACAAAATAACGAAATAAGACGGCTGACCTGTCAGGGTTCGGGGCTGGAGCTTCATCGAGCCTTCCGAGTACTTCGGAAGTTGAAGTGGGTTTGACGGAAACCATGTCCTTGAGCAAAAGGAAACGATTAGTTCGGTTCCAAAGGCCGTGTCCGACTTGGCCCGCTCTGGCCATGCCAAGGTTGGCGGCGACAGTCTGACCTCAAAAGCATAAAAGCTGCAAGGGCTCCGGCCGCTCTCTCGTACCTCCTTGTTCATCGCATCTGCTGCCTCGTTGACCTGGCGTGCAGGCGTGCAGCAGGTTTGGAACCCGCGTCGAAACGAACGGGAAACAATTAGACTACGGAGGCTTCGAATGGGATGCGCTGCAGACAGTCAAGCTGTACCCAAAGGAAGCCAAACCAATTGCAGCAAGCCGAGCTGAGTGAACATGACCGCCGCAAAACTAAAATACGGCAAAATGCGGCCATAAGCATACCGATCTGCCCATCTACTGGACTTCCTCTAATTCCAGAAATTCCAGGAAATGGCGAGGCAGCCCACCGGCCCATGAAACAACCCACCCCGCCCTCGGCCCACAGGCAGGTGCTGTTGCCAGGCTCCGTATCACAAACTCCACATGCGAGGCCAACTTCTAGGCGCTTGCTTTTTCCTCCAGCGCGCATAAGCTACGGCCTTTTTCTGCGCCTGGTGTCCTGGACTGAACAAAAACAAAGGAATATGTCAAATCTGGCTTAGGCCCTGGGTACTCAATAGATCGGCACAGAGAAAACATCATTCTAGTGTCGGTTTCCTTTTGGGGGCAATCAAACATTATGCACAATTCAGCGCCCAGCTGCTTCACGTCAGAAGGCAACCAGCACAAGCCGTTGCTACGCCGGTGCGTGACTTGTGCCGTCTGAGCAACAGCACGCCAGCTGCAGCCAGAGCTGAAGAACTCTAAGCTGTTGAGTTGACTGGCCAGAAACTCCGAAAGTGAACGAATTGACCAAACAAAGTCCAAATGTGAGTTTATCACTCAAATTATCTTCCACAAAACTTTGAAGCCCATGAACTCAGGGAGTACGGGACAAGTTTGATTTTTTTGGGCCTTGACTTAAAGAAAAACTGCCCAGCAGCAATTTGCGGCTTGCCAACTCAACAGGTACAGGGAACCCCGGAAGTTGCATCCAGTGCTTCAAAGACTATTCTGCATGGAACTCAGCCCGCCCAGCACCCCGGGGTCCCTGTGAGTTTCGTAAATGGCCGCCGAGCCCGTGGATTTCCGAGAAACCACACAAGATGGAAGCTCGTGGCTCAGCCCATGTCTACCTGGCCTACTATCGCTCCATGCCCGCTGGTAAAGCTTCCAAAAGGGGTATGCAAACCCACCTGTCCATCCTGTCCTGCTTCACATGTTGTCGTAGAACTCCTGTCGTGGGGCCCGATGAGCTGACTGGGCCTTTAATGCGCGCTCTACCACCCATCGCCAAGAAAAGGGGGTGCATTAGCAGCACGCTGGACATGCCAGACGTGACATTCATGCCACTGTGGCGCCTCAGTCCAAGATAAGAAAGACTTGGAGACTGCTCACCTCAAGGTCTCAAGGTAGAGTAATTGACATCATGTCAAAGGACAACATCAATATCGATCATGAAGCAACCGGCTTGCAATCCCACTCTCTGTTGCCTGTTACGCCCAACACCACCACCAAAACCCAAACCAAAACCACCACACCAAAATCAAAACCTTCACCGCCAACACCACTGCCACCACCGCCGCCACCACCACAACCAACAACGACGACAACAACGACCAACAACAACAACCAGCCCCGGCCAACCAATCAACCAGCCAGCCAGCCAACCAACCAACCACCAACCAACCACCCACAACCAACCGACCACGCAACCAAGCAACCAAGCAACCCGGAAAAGGAGCCAAGCAGCCAAGGCCAAGCAGCCAAGAAACCAAGAAACCAAGCAACCAAGCAACCAAGCAACCAAGCAACCAAGCAACCAAGCAACCAAGCAAGCAAGCAAGCAAGCAACCAATCAACCAACAAAACCAACCAACCAACAAAACCAACAATCAACGACCAACAACAAACAACAAACAACAAACAACAAACGACATCGAAAACAACCACGATAACGACAACGACAACAACAACGACAGCGACCACGACGACCACGACCACGACAACGACAAGGTCAACGTCAACGTCAACAACACCATTTGCATCTTGCGCCGCTGCCTTCAGAATGCGCAAGTATCTCTGCGTAGTGTCCTGCAGGATTCACCATGCTGAAACAAAGGACTTGCCTACCAGGTTTGCAAGCTGGAACAAGGATGCCTCGAAATTCAACTCGCAGAGCTGCATGGCTGTCCTCGTGTCTTGCTCAACCTGCATTGGGATTACAAAATCTGAACCCTGCGGAACCCAATTTAAAGCAGCGCAAGAGACGCCAGGGTCCCTCCAAAAAGGGGGCAAACCCACCAAGAAGACCTCCAAAGCTTGTGATTTCTCTTAGGCTGACTCCTGCTTCCCGACAGGAAAACCGCCTTTTGGTTTGCAAGAACCGAGCAACTAAAAAACCGGCCCCACCCCGAACCCGGACTCCCCCACACCCGAGGGTTTTCTCCTCCACGGTGCGGCACTCTTGCCGCAGATCCTCCACCTCGCTGCGCCTCCGGGACTTTCCGGAGACTTGGGAAACAAACGTTTGAAGCCAATGCTGAAAGAGTGATCCTGGGGTGCTAAGAAAGCCCCTGAAATGGAACACAGCTGTTGATTGGGGCTTGATTCATCCTGGTTCCCACTGGGGGGGCAAGCCACTCTGAGACTACTTCAGAGCCAACAGCTCAGAAAGAGTGGGCCCATTAGCTCGGACATGTGTCTAAACCGCGGTTGATCGCGTCAAAGCCCTGTAAGCCCACTAATCCAGGTATTCCAACTGGGTGTCAAGTGGACTCGGCCATGTGTTGCACTTCGCTCCCGGAGCAGCGCTCCAACCGCGCCTTTGCTGCGCCCTGCATCGCAGCTCCGCCAGCCGCCGCACGAGCTCCGCGCTTTCCGGGGGCGCATCGGTCGTTTCCGAGCCTCCATCGGGCATGCGCAAATTCGAAATTCGCGCGGAAAAAGATCCTCCAGAAAAGGGACCTTGAGATAGGCTTCACCGGTCGTAATCCGAAAATGGGTACCCTCACAATGCGCATGGATTTACATTGGGGACCCTTTGACAGAGATCATTTGTATTGAGGTGCATGTCCACCAACCATTTGGAAGGGTATTCCCCAACAAGATTCATAGCCACTTGTTCCCACACTTTTCTCTTCCAACACAACCATTGCTGAGAGCGAATCATCACAAAGGGCCCATTACCAATCATGCGCAAAGTAAACTACCTTTTGCGGACAACACCAGCTGCAATAGCTGGCAAAGAGAAAACGCACGCATCAAGTACAGAGGCGCTAAGCTGTCAGGACTGCCACTCATCAAAATGAGTAACTTCTGCACTGCTTGAGTGAGTGCATCAAACATTTCGGGTTGCTGCTAGGTGCGCTGAATGCAATGCTTGGCGAGTCGGAAACCGACAGTTCCTGAGTGTCTTCTGAGACACGGTTTAAAGCGCCAAAGCCTTCCCCACCTTCAATCCAGCGAGACTTCAAAGACCAGCTTCATTCCCAGCATGGGAAGAATGCAGGCAAAGGCCAAACGTGCCGTGCGTGATTCAGTAGAGCCGTTGCAACTCACAATGGACACGCATGACAAGCACCACTGAAAGCCTTCTAAACAACACTTTCAGGTGGACAACTCAGGCCATGAGCTGCCCCAAAACATATCCAAACTGTTTGCTATGCAAACCACTTTCCTGAAACGTATGAAGTCCAGCTGGAGATGCGAGAGTTTGAGCCTCCCCCGTGGCTTCTGGTCCAGCGGCCTCGGACCGAGCCGTCAGCCGCGTCAGCCGCGTCAGCCTGGCCCTCCGACGAGGGTCCAGTGGTCGTCTCGCTGCCGTTGACCTGCAAAGCAGAATGCATATTCCCAAGCCAAACTCTCCCACAACAAGGCCATCCAAAAGAAGTGAGAGGACGCTCAGTTCTTCGCCCAACAGATTGCCACCTCTCCGGTGCCTTGCTCAAGCAGTGGTCTCCGTCACTATCCCTGGCCTCCAGCTTGGCAGCTGGCGATCCTGAGCGCAGTTCCGGCGGCCCGAGCCCGCCCGAAGTACAAAATCCTCATAAGGACTCATAAGCAAAGCTGTACGATCATTCTTCCCCAACAGCTGAAAGCAGATAGGCTCCGGGGGCCGGGGCGGCTCTGAGGTAAGGTCGAGGAGTCATGTGGCTGGGGCGGAGCCAGCCGCAAGGAAATACGAACCGTTTTGGCATGGCCCCCTTTGTGCATTTCTGAGTGCTTCCTGGACCCTTGTTCTAGGAAACACCTATTTGATCATTCATCATTCTCCAGGGGCTAGCTTGAAGAAATGGCATCCCTCCCACCCACATGGAACCCACCAGAAAGTCCTCTGAGCAACACTGTCTCAACCCGGCACCCGCAGACAGGTCCCACGGCAACGCAGTATCCACCCCTCGTCCGCCCGCTCTGGCCAGGCGGCGGGGGGACCACGCAGATATGCAGGTGCTACGCGGCTTCCTCGGACGGAGCGGACGATGGCGTACGACAAAGGGCGGCGCTGGTGGTACGGCACAGCCACAGCTGCACAAAACCATTCCCGCGCTAGAGATTGCATCTTCAGCAAAGATTGAAATATGTGAGATTGGATTCGAAGAAATGGAGGGCAAAGGGAATCACCAATCGTACATAGCCCTTCTGGCAGATTCCAGCGTCCAGCCCTGGGCAGCTTCTGCACCGCAGAAGGAATATTCGAGGGAGCCATGCAGCTGCTCACATTCGAACATTGTCCAGCCTCTGGCGCAACAACCTGCTGGCCTTGCTCAACACGCACGACTTCACTGTGAAACATGTGAGCCATGCGCCGGAAGGGCCTACTGTCACGCTCTCCGTCTTGCAAACTGGCGCTGCCCTCCCCTCAAACTGACATGGAAGCTCCCAAGACCCCTCGCGAAACCGCCAAAGGTCAGGGAAACGGCGAGATGATTTCCGGGTTGCGGGCCATGCACATTGGAGCCGAGATGCTGGCTTGACGTTGCTGCGGCTGGCTCTGGCTCAGCTGCAGGCCTCTCCTCTGTCTTCGCCTGCTTCTGCTCCTCCTGGAGCCCAAAAGTGTGAGACCCCGGCCTCATGGTGCTCAGGCTTCTACCGGCACATCTTGACTGGGCCCTCGAACCAACCAAAACACAAAGTAATGCTTTGACATGCTCCTCGCACCACAAGGCCCTGATTACCCTCCAAGGTGCCCCCTTGGCATGCCGTCCTGCTGGGCGCGCAGCTGCGACCATGTGGCACGCCTCCGCCGTGGCTCGGCTGGTGCCTCACGTGGCTCTGGCCGTGGGTCCGACCGCTCCTCTGGTCGCGGGTCCGCTGGCCGTGGGTCCGCTGGGCGAGGGGCTGCGGGCCGCGGGTCCGCGTTGGGCAGAGACGGGCGGGTCTGCGTCTCGGACTCCGCTTGCCTGAGTGTGCTGGGGCTCCGCGCAAGGGATGAGATAGGAATGGCAAAGCAGCAATGCAACTTAGAAGGCTGGCCTGGCAGCTTTTCTGTGCAAACGCGTTTCAGAATGATTTGACCGGGCATTTTGCAATTGGATGGTCAGTCAGTGCCGCTGAGGCAAGCTTGAAGGGTTGAACACATGTCCTTGTACAGGGCTGTCCCTAGAGTGAAATTTGGCCTTCTTAGGGCCATGGCGAACTTCTATCGGCAACCTTTTTGTTAGTAGGGAAGGGCGCAGGGAAGGGCGCTCCCTCGTGGGACGGAGGCGACTCTGTTTCGCAGACTTATTGGGGTCCTTGCAAACAGCAAAAACTATCCTACACTGAACATCCAGTTCAGAGGGATCCGCAAACAACAAAAAACGTCCCGCTGGGTAAGAGTTCAGTTCTGATCCTTTGAAAGGTTCTGAAAGCAGTTGCAATTCCCTCGTCCAGTGCCTCACCCCTCACTGGAACTCTCGCGGGCTATCAGCAGAAATCTGCAAAGGGCATACGGCCCTTGTTGGAAGCTGCGTTGACCCCCTATTTTGCGAAGGGGTAGGCCTCAGCGAATCTGCTGCTATGGTGTCAGAAACTGTCTGCTCAAATCAATGAACCCGCTCAAGTAATCATGCCACGTCCTGGGGAAGCAAACGATCCAATCCCACCTACATGCGGTCAATTGCATTTATGAATCTGGTATCCATGCCTTACACGGGGTGCCTTGTTCCTCGCCCACTCAAAGCAACCTGTTGATCTATGCAAAAGGTTTGATCATTTGCATCACCTGCCAATCCCTGCCAATCCCTGCCATGATCAGAATGTCTATCACTTCATCCATCGGTCTCACCTCGCCAGCCCAGACCCGCAGGCCCGCGGCCTCCGCGGCTCCCGCCATGCAAAGCGGTGCCTCCACCCCAAAAAAAAACAGCGAGACAGGCGGAACAGCGGGGTGTGCTGCGTTTGTTCCTTGCAGCGTATGCGCATGTTTCCTTTGCACACTGTGTGTTCCTTTGTTCCTTTGTGTTCCTTTTCTGGAGGGGGGGCTTCATTTGAAAGCCCACAGTCAGCAACCAAAGGTTGGCCTTGAAAGACAAGATTTGTCCCTAAACGCGGGAAAGTGATCGCTTGGTCTTGTGCATATATTTTTGTGAAGAATGTGCAGGGGCCCAAAACGTACAGGTAATTAGCCTTTCGAAACCAAGAAAACAGTTTGTCGTCAATGCAAGTTGGGCAGTCATTGGCGTCCTTGCTGCCTTGGTATCCTTCAGCGAGAGAGAAGAACGGAGCACGCTTCTGCTTGCCTTGTTACTGTCCATCAGCGGGTCGGACAAATCAAAACAAGAGGACAACTGGCAATCACCTCTGCGCTCATGCGTTAAACGCCCTGCGCTAGATCCGGCTCGCATGACGGGAGGTGCGTTCTTTGGGGGAGGGAGGGGGCCATGAGTAAGCAAAACTTGGCAGAATCTAAAAAGTGTTCACACGCATGCTCAAGCACGGACCAGACCCGCATCCCTCAACAAGCACAACAGTATTACAAACCCTGACCGCGAAGCGCCCATGCCTAGCACTGCGTGCCGCAGGCCCTACCGCAGGCCGTGCTGCAGGCCCTGCCACAGCGGGCGTCGGGTGCGCCGGTGCGGGCTGGGCCTGCCGCTGGCCTCTCGAACGGACCGGCAAAAGACTTGGTGGCCTCCTGGCCACTCTGCCACAACTCTGCCACAATATTTTGACCTTCAATAGGGCCTTGCTCCAACACCAACTGTCACAGAGGACTTATACCTGCCAAATGGTCGATGTGAAGGAATCAACATGGTCCAAGGGGGGGGGACCATGAAGAGCAAGGAAAATACAGGAACGCCAAAACACAGCGCGACCACTCAAGCAAAATGCCATGGCATACCTGCTCCAGTCCTAGTGCTGTATACATCCTGTTGCCCTCTCGCCCTTGCGATTGGTCGTGCATCCTCCGGCAAGCCCGCGCACAAGCAGACCCCCAGGAGGGGGCTCTTCACAAGCAGACAGCTATGGTTCAGTCATCAACTCATTTAGCTTGCCCGCGAAAAGCACCGAGCTTCACACCTCCAAGCCAGGTCCGGCCATGACAATGGGTTCTCATGGCCTTGGGAGGCCATGCCCCGCCTTGCGCCTTTCGCTGGCGCTCCTCCTCCAGCGCTCGCTCCGCTCGGTTTTGGGCGTCTTGGGCCGAGGCCGCCGAGCGCCACGCCGGCACCCGCGCCGAGGTGGCGGGGGGCGGCTGGAAGGCGGGGGGCGGGGCCGGCGCCTCGCGGGACAATGCGGGGAATGGGGCCTCTGCGGGGCAAACTCCAGGACTTCAAGAAAGGTACCCCAGGCAGCCCCATTGTGAAACAGTGTTCCTTCACCCTTGTGCTGAAACAAACCAAAGGCACACCCAAATGGATGAAGCGACAAGCGGCACCAAGTGACTGCCTGCGCAAAAAGCTCAAGCTCAGTACTGTTTTCGACGGTGGAACTTGCGCCCAGTGAAAGAATCCATTCAGATTTGCCCTTGAAACAAATGCAATGCCACAAAAAAGTCGACGTTGGGGAATTGAGCACGCGCTGCGAAAGGCGAAAGGGCGATGCGCCTGTGCTGCCTGCTCCTCCTCCTCCCCAACTGCCCGCCAGCCAGGCGGCCGGAAGAAGCTGCTGGTTTGTATGTCCTCCAACTCCTAGGCGCAGGATGGCTTAGTAGTACTACGATAATTTTGGGAGCGGCCAAAATGGAACACAGAACGGCACTAATCCATGTTTATACGCACACAAAAATATACTGACGACAAAGAGGTCCGAAAGCCACCTGGCATGCCTTGAAAACTGGACCGCCCGGAAAGCTTTCTTCATCAAGCGCCAAAAGGCACCCAGCTCCCTTACCAAACCTGTCCTCCAAGTCGTTGACGTCAATTCCCTCCGACCAGTTGCTGAAGGCCTTCTCCGATCCCATGCTTGCTTTGAGACGAATCGCCACATCTGCGCGCGAGCAGACTTTCCGAAGGCCCACCACGCGGAGGAAAAAGAACTCCGCGTCCGGCACAGACTCCTTGATCCAAACCAAGCAGCGCGATAGAGTTGTCCTTTCTGTTTTCCATGCGACGCGTTGCAAAAGGTGGATAAGAACTAGGCCTTTGCAACGCGTTTCTTACGAAGTTGACCGCGTTATGTTGCACAACCTGGGCTGCTTGACCTCGCACCTCAAGCCAAAGGTCGGAACGTCGGAGCCCTTCCTTTCGTAAGCTCGGCCGAGGCACGTAGAGCGGGCGCAAACTCAGGCCGTGGGCCTTGGTCGTCTGCAGCTCGGGCTCCAGGTCCCACCATGCCTCCTCATGGCTTCAGGGGGGAATGCTTGGCCCCACAGTTGGGGAGCCTCGATGGAAAAGACGTGGCCTTGGCAGTTGGCAGGCATGGTAGCCTGACAGGCTCCGCTGCCACCTTGCCTTGCTACTGTGGATGGACGCAATCCTGCACCACCTGAATCACCATGGGAAGCCATTCTTCGTTGGCATTTACAGGGGAATCATCATTCCAGGTCTTCTCAGGTGGTGCAGGATTTCGTCCATCCACAGTAGTGCAAAAACAAGCCGAACAGGCAATCATGGAAGTGGACACACAACTTGCATGGGCCCTCCCTTGCCCAGTCCTTGGTGAAGAGCCGCTTCGGCCTCTGCCGTGGGCCCACCTGCGCGACAAGAGAAACAGCCCAGCCGGCCCAACCAAAGCATGCCTCCAAAGCAAGACTGCGCCCAACAGCCAACACATGGGCCAAAACAGGTCACAAAAAAATGCCTGGACCAATGGATTTTAACACGCTTCTCAAGCTGATGTTGTTGCCAGAAGCAAACAAAACCGGCAAGTGGCTGCAGTACAAGCACCACAGTTTGATCTGCAACTCACGCTCTGGTGCCGCCGCAGGGCCATCCTCCTGCGTGGGTAGTGACTGATATACGACCAAATTTGCCCAAAGGCAAACAACATCCTCTTTGCAAAGATCCCGTCAAAGGCCTCGGGCTTGCTCCCCTTTCCAGAAAAAGGGCCTGAATCCCTCAGCCATGGCTAGGCTTCGGGAAGGCATCCCAGTTGCAACCAGTAATGACTGACAAGCTGACACACTTGACTTGAAAGGGCTTGTCCAAGTGCAGCACCACCAGTGTCAGGCCAACCTTGACCTGTCAACCCATGTGCTCAATAGCCATGCGAGAAAAACTTGGCATGGCTCTCTGTAGCAGCGCCGCTTCTTTCTTGTTTTGCATGCTCCTCCCCTTGTATCCACCCTCAGCCACCCAGCCCGCCTGGGAAGTATCTGGGATCAGCAGCAGCCGCTCCGCCGTGAAGCCCCGCCTCACCTCTGCGTGCCAAGTCACAGAGTTCATGCGGCAAGCTTGCGCCAGGCCCCCATAGATCCGGGATGCCAGGTCCTGGGCCGGGGAAAGAGGGAAAAGCGCCGCAAAGCCGAGCTGTGCGCCTAAGGCAACTAGCTGCTAAGAGTGGTGCTGTGGCCAGGGGTGCTGCGTGTGCAGGTGGGGGATGCGCAACACATGTCATGTCTCCATGCGCCGTCCGCACAATTTCAAGGAGCCAGCGCAGGGCCAGGACGGATAGAAACGCGAGCAGGGAAGCGGCAGCAAGCGCAACAATGCGCCAATGTGCTTAAAAAGGCCAGCTTTATCTACGCATCTTAGGGGGAAAAGCATCCAAAAGGAGCCAAAATGGCAGTGCTTTCTAGACAGCGGAGCACTGCGCTGGCACGCATGCAATACGCACACGCACGTACACACAGCAAACAGCAAACAGCCCAAAAACCTGAAGCAAGCAAGCAAGCAAGCAAGCAAGCAAGCAAGCAAGCAAGCAAGCAAGCAAGCAAGCAAGCAAGCAAGCAAGCGAGCCAGCGAGCCAGCGAGCCAGCGAGCCAGCGAGCCAGCGAGCCAGCGAGCGAGCGAACGAGCGAGCGAGCAAGCAAAGTGTCAACATTGCATGCCTTTGTGAGGGGCCCTAAGGGCACCTTGGGTAAGTCCACGCCTTGTGACAAACCAAGCTTGCTTTCCAGGATGTCCCTTTACAAGATGACTTCTGCGCGTTCAGGGCGTGCAAGGCAACCAATCCAGACCAACCAATAAGGTAGCTTGCAACGGCAACTTTTCTCCAGGAGGCCCACTGAACAGGACCACCCTGTCAATTACCGGCACGGCGCGTGAAGAGAATCCAGCAGACTGGCGGACTTATCCGCCAGCGCCTTCTCAACCTGGCGATTTGACCAAACAGCAGGCTTTGAGCCGCTTCTGGGAGTAGGATTCCTGCATCACCTCCCCGAACACACCGTCTTGAGAAAGACTAGAATAGTCCGTTTTTGGAGGTGTGTTTGGTTCGGGGGTCCTGGGAAAGTTTTATGACTGTAGATCGACGCATCCAAAACCAACCTGCTTGACAAGGGAAACAGTCTAAGCCATGGCGCACAGGGCTAGGCGTGCCGCACGTGTATCCAATATGGGATCCTGGTTCTTGAGCGTTCGTTGCCCCTTGGCCATGGTAGCGGGGGGAGTCAAATGCCTAAGTTGGGGGTGGAAAAAACAAGGCCCCTGTTCTGAACTACTTCACCTGCAGCGAGCCTTCAAGGCGAGGCTCAATGAGAAAGCTTCTACCCAGCGACTATCTTCCACCGAAACCGTTTCGAGCACCCCCACACCCCCAAACCAAAGTTTCGAGCACAGACACCCCCAAACCAAAGGGCTCCCACTTCCCAAGCCTATTCCTCGCAGCATCCTCTTAGGCACCCCGACCCTAACTCCCGGCCTGCTCCGTGAGCGCCTTGAGCGCCAGCAGCAAGTCTGGCGGGCGGAAGCCCGGGTGCTTCTCCGGCAGCTGCAGCAGGTCCAGGAAGTAGCCTCCGCTCAGCTATCGGGTGGGGGCAAGCAAGGGCAGTTGGTTTGCTTGTTTTGACGCTGATGCTGATGTTCGTGTTGCTGTGGTGAAGGGGGCTTCAGGGGCGACAACTTCTTTTTTTATTTGAGAGCATGCCAAATCGCACCCAAGAACTCGTCAACGGCCGGCTTGTGCCAAAAGCATGTTCCTGGTCGTAGATTTGTGGGACGGACCCATGTGCTGCTGCCTTTTGTGTTTTTGGCGAATGTCTTCCATAGGTATAGCTTTCAGCACCGCAAAAGAAACCAAGGAACGCCGCAGCATGGGCCCGTAGCGCTGGTAGTGCACCTGCAGTGCTGGCACCTGGCAGCAAGCGACCAGTGGGCGTGCCAAGTGTCTGCTTGGAAGACCAGTGGAAAAGACGCAAATAGCTTCCATCATTGGTCACTGCATCCATCTGCACCCAACTTCGCCATGTCAATTCCTGAGCCACAGAACTATACCAGGGCGCCGTCAGTGCCCCTCATATCTATTCTCCTTGTTGAAAAGTCTGGCAGGCCTTGCCCTCCTGGCTGCCTGAAGAGTGAGCCTTTGCGATCTGCTGACTGTGAAACTAAATCATGTTAAACATGCGACAGTCTGGAGCAAGTCATGCTATCCTGGTGCGACTCCTTTCTGGCAGTGCCAGAAGCAGGAGGACCCTTGGCAGACATAAGCCCCAAACTTCTTTCGGAAGCAAAGAATGATTGCAAACAATGAGACCCCATTATTACATGGCTCGGATGGTAAGCTGCCCACCAGTTTAGCCCCCCTGGAAACACCAGCAAGACTCCCCCTGGGCCTGCGTAAGCCACTGGAAATCCTTGTCCTCATCCCAGGTGCATTCTGCTAGCTTCCGGAAGCCTCAGCTCAATTCCATTTTGGATCAGTCCCTACCATGGTTGCAACTGGGCTACGTTTCTAATGTAGGGCTTTCTTCCCATGCTGACCTGCTGAGTTGACTGGCAAAATCAAAAAACGACACATCTAGCAGGTTGATCTTTCATGCGAAGCCAAAACATAACTACCAGGTCTTTTCACACTCACGTTCATTCAGTCACCCTCCGGGGGTGGCCCAAAGGGATTTACGCAAGTTACGGAAGGCCAACGAGCAACGCCTACCCACACCTCTGCGCTGCGCTGTAAGGCCCACAGGCTGACAGAAAAACAACATGCGGCCTAAAGTACCAAGACACACCCACCCCTTGAGTGTCAGAGGGGTCTAACTTCGTGCTGCCCTTCCTCCTTCCCACCTTTTTTTCCTCACCCCTTGACCCCTTGAAGGTGAGAACGCTCAACTCGAGCCCCGCTCCCTTGGCACTGACCCCACATTCCGGAAAATGCAAAGGGTACCTTCGGATCCTTGGCGCGGCCCTGCCTATCAGTCGCATCAAATATGGAATGTAAAGGCACCAAACCAAGAAGAATCGTGCTGTCGCCTTCCAGGGCGCCCCCCGGCACAAAGACCAGCTCCGTCAGCTCTTCGCGGACCTCCTCTAGCGCCTCTCGGTCCTCTTCGCTGTTGCTCAAGGAGGTGATCTCCTTGTAGACGTCCGCGAAGACCTCAGTGCACGTTTCAAGCGAGGGAACCCAACTAAAAGGCCACCAAGATGCAGCAAGCCCCTTTTCACTTGCCTTTCTCTTTTCCTAATGCTCAAAGCCCGCCATGCCTCCCCAAGTGAGAGGTTTGGCCCCAATTGCAACAGAGAAGAAGGTTGGAGACACGTTTTGCCGGGGTTGACCCTGTCTCGTGGGAGAATGACCAAACGGGCAACATGGTGTCACTCAACAGCCGGCTCACTAGGAGTTGGGTGTCCTTTTGGGAGGAAGCCCTTTTGCCCTGGTTGTTGAAGGGGGTCCAAATGAAAATCGATCCTTTTCAAGTGCCTAATTTTGAGACAAGCCCAGGCTTTTGCAGGTTGTCTCTTCAAAGATCTGGATCCGCTTTTCAATGGATTGCCCCGCCTCTCCAACTGGCACAGAATGGGGGCCTTATGATACCGGGCACTAGGCGATTGGCCGCTCGCGTTTTCAGCCCCAGCCCGGAGCCTCCAGGTGGCTGCAGCAGTTCTCGTAGCGGAGCAGCTGCAGGCACCGGACCAGCGCAGGCACAGTCAGCCGCACCTCACAGAGGTGTTTGCACAGGGCCTAATTCACAGCAAGGAGCTTGAAAGCACCTTCTGGCAGCGCCACTGCTTCACTGGGATGGCTGAGCCGACCTAACAACAGCCCTGCAGCTGGTATCCCGATCAGCCCGCCGAAACCCTGCCTGAGAGCCGCTACGAACCACTCCAGCGCCTATCTGGGTAAAGACTTTCTGTTTGGAAGGAAACCGGCCAAGGTAAGAGCAGTTGCCCGCCTGCACGCCACAGCCCCCCAGGCAGTCGCGGACCACCGGGGCCGATGTGGAGTCAATCTCAGGCATGCGGACATAGCGCAAGTACGGCCCGCCGAAGCGGGAAAACTCCTGCGCACGGAGCTTGATCTCAACTCTGCACGCGGATTCTTCAGAATCTGAGCCATTCCGCAAGGAAAGGCAGATCGGTGCAAAGCACATCCCAAAAAATCGTGCAGCCAAAAAGCCAAAGGCGCCTCACGCATCCGGTCGCCCGCATTTCCAAACACCTCTGGCTTGAGGTGCCCGCGCCTCATGCAGGAAGAAATCCCCGAGGCACACCTTCTGCAGGCTGCGTTCTTTGGCTCCGACACCTCGGCCCCGCGCCATGTGCGGCAGGATTGAATGAACCGAAGGCAGTATTTCGACCACTCCGTCCTTAAAAACACCGGAAAGCAAAATCAACCGAGCAAACATGGAAACTACTCAGATTTTAGAGTACTTGGAGCAAAAACAGGGGGGGGGGGCATCTGCTGTTGACAAACGGCGATTATCAATTATCGGACAACTATCCGACATGTTCTGACCAGAGTAGATGGCTCAATTGCTTCCGATTTTTTCTGAAAATCATTTGATCGATCTGAGGCTTGTGTAGGGCATGCCCACGAAACCAAAAGCCATGAGCTTTGAGGCCGCAGAGCCTTCAAAGCTTGGAGCATCCCAGCTAAAGGCTTGACTCTGATTTTGTTTGCTGTCATTGCGGAACCGCGGATTTACGTAGCAGTGCGGCAGTGCGCGGTCTTTTGCGGGAACCTTTTAATTTTCACAGGACGTCAGCTTGAAACCCATCATTTGGAAGGGTCTGACGGTTCTTCTCCCCATTTTGGCCCAGCCCCCGAGCCAAGGTAGATTCCCTAGAGAAATGCGAGCAGGGAACAAGGGAAATCCTGTTTACAGCTGCACAGTTTGTGCGATTGGTCCACTGTCTTCTGGGTTTCCCCGTGTGGCCGCGGCCCCAAATCCTGCCTTTGGACTGACGCTTGCCAAGCTGCTCAAACGTGCAACCATGCCACCTCGGCGCATCCCAGTCAGAGAGGGGTCTTTGGGGTCCAGCTCAATTGAGCTTCCATTTGATTTGGTATGCTGGACTTCAGTTGCCATTTGATTTAGTATTGCTGGAGCTTCCAGTGGATTGATTTACATTGCTGGAGCTTCCTCTTTGAGATATTGAACTGAGTTTCCACTTGATTTAGTATTGCTGGAGTAAAAGGCACTGCTTGCTTGCTATTGGGGCAGGGGAGGGGCAGGCGTCCTGACACAGAGTTGGCACAACTGTGTATGGCAGGTTTTGTTGCATCTGGCACCCGTGTCAACATAACTACCTCGCATCCCAACTCAATTCATCCAGGCTGCATGCATCCACCTTCACAGGCAAAGCTCGGAGCCAGGTGCCCTGGCAATGTCTCGGGACTGGGGTGGCCCTAGGGCGGCCCAGTAGGGCTTCATGGACAAACACATATCCGCTGCACTCGAAACCACTCAATTTCACTTGACACTGAAACTAAATTTCTGCCAACAAAGGCCTGAAGTGGCGCATTCCTTGAAGCATCCCACTTGCTCGCTTGCCATCCGTTGACCCATCCTGCAATCCCGGCCAGCGCCTCCCGACTCAACGAAGAAAAGAATTGGCGACCAAACAAAAACAACCAGAAAGCGCTCCTTGTTGCTCAAACCTTTAAACTCAAGACAATGCCATCCTGAAGCGTAGCAAAGCCTGCGTGTGTTTCTACAAACTCGGGCAGTGAATGGATTCCATTAGGCAGGCATGTGATCTCTGGATGCCCTCCAAACCAGGTACCACCACCACCACCACCTCCTTGGTGGCTTGTTTATCCTCCTTGTCAACATTTCAGAGGCACTCCGTTGCCCGAACCCACTCTAGGATCACTCTCCGCCGAACGCGTGGTGCTTCACCTTCGGCACTCTCGGATCGGATAAGCTGGCGCCTCGCAGCGCCGGGCCACGTAGGACAGCACCGGGGCCCCGAGCTTCACCACGGAGTGCCACCACTCGTGGCTGCAGAGGTTCTTGCCTGGGCTAAACCTTTCGGATTGATGGGAGCCGCAGTGAAGGATCCCCTCAATAGCACGCCCTAGGAGACCAATGAATCCTGGGTGCAAAGGCAAAGGCACCAAAGTCAAGCAATGCGTGCCCCGGGGGGGTAACATGCAACAAATTGTTACATTGCAAGCGCACATGCATCAATGAGTATCTGAGTATCGCTATTGCACGGTAAGGGCCAACTGCCTTCGGACCAACAAGCGAATGCTCCACACTAGGGCGCAAACAAACCCATCTGAATCAAATAGGGCCCAAATGATTGTTTACATCTGGCCCCCCTTAGTGGCCCATTCCACCTAGGTCACGGATAGCAACAACCAGCCTTGCAACTGGAGGCCCCCCAGAACGGTCTTCCCCCGTGACCTCCACTCCCCAGGCCAGCTCATGGCTCTTTGAGCCCAGCCGCCCAGGCGGTCGAAGATGATGTGCCGGTGCTGCAGCGCTGCCCCACGCGCCTGTCCCGGGTCCAAAGGTGCCACGCCGATGGCGTCGAAGAAGGCCTCCAGACAGGTCGGGAGGACCCCGCGAAGGGGTAAGGACAGGTAAGGAATCTAAGACACGTTGCCGCTTTGTCTGTCTCTTCCTGTCTGTCTGTCTGTCCTGCCTGTCTGCCTGTCCGTCCGTTTGTCCAGGCAATTGTGCATCGGGAGCACGCTTCGATCTGAAACTTGTACCTTCGACATGTCAGCGCACCATGCCCTGTTACTGCTTGTCCCCAGCGACAAAGGGACCTCAGCCATCCTGGCTTTGGGGCGGTCTTGTAGCAAGATTCCTTGGCCTTTAGGTGCAGCTTCTCGCATTTCTGGCAGCTATTCTCCCGTCCTGCAGTGAGCTAGGGGAATTTTGGTTAGGCCAGGCAGGGGCCGTCTGACTTTCCAACAGACAGGTTTCATTTGAGGGGCAACCACTAAGGCGGTCTCGAAGGCGTAACACATCATCCGTCCAGGAGTGGGCCGTCCCACAAACTGGGTCTCGATTTTTTGGGAGGCTACCCTTTTGAGGTTGTTGGCAGGGAAGCCAAAGGACACTTTCCTGGGCGGGTTCCAGAGAAAAGCAAAACCAGCCGTCAGATCCTTAGCTTCAATCTTGCCCGGCCTCCCAGCCAAGGAAGTCCTGGCCCCAGGTCTTCTTCGACACTTCCGCCAGCACCTGGCAACCGCTCAGTCGGATGAATCTGTGGAATTGGGCCCCGGCTCGCGCAGAACGCCAAACTGGCGTAACCCCACACCCACCCACATCCCAAGCGAGCAAGCCAAGCCAGTCCGTCAGCACACTCCTGATTATTGTCCACCACCTTGGGCCGCAGCAAGTGGCAGCTTTGTTGGAATGGTTGGCTCCGGGTTGGCCTCCTTTCTCATGAACAAAAAAGTTTCGCATCAGTTCTCCACACTCCCTTGACCGCATGCAAGACGCGAACTGTCAGGATCCTAAACGGAAGGGTTGCAGGACACACATACAAACAAATACATGACCATTTAATTGGCAGCTCCGTGGCTTTGGCACACCACATGCCCACACCATTGTCCCACTGCCACCTCGACTCTCCCGTCCATTCAGGCCAAGGAGCGGCTACCCCGAGGCAAAAAATGTTACGAAGCTTCCTCGGGCGCTTCAGCGTGAAGATCTTGTTCCAGGAGGGCACCCAAAGCCTCAGAGGAGCCATGACCCAACCCGGGTCAGAGTTCATGGGGCCGATTCAGGAGATTGTGACTTGT